ACCAGGTGGCACCGGAAAGACGTTCGTTTACAGCGCTTTACTGGCAAAAGTTAGATCGGATGGCGAAATTGCCATTCCTGTCGCCTCTTCCGGTATTGCTGCAACGTTGCTGCAAGGTGGTCGTACAGCGCATAGTCGTTTTAGGCTTCCTTTGGATTTGGCTGCCAATACCATCAGCACGGTTCGGATCCGCAGTCCACAAGCACAGATACTTAGACAGGCCAAGCTCATCATCTGGGATGAAGCACCAATGTGCCACAGATTCGGTTTCGAGACAGTTGATCGACTTTTAAGAGAGATCATGGGTGTTACTGATCGTCGCTTGGAACGCATTCCTTTTGGAGGAAAAACTGTTGTCATTGGCGGTGACTTTAGACAAACACTGCCTATAGTTCCCAATGCCAACAAGGCTGATATTATCGATGCTTCCTTGATCAAATCCTACCTCTTTGTCAACAACATTGTCCGTGTGCTTCGACTCACCGAAAACATGCGCGTCCAGCAAAGTCCTGATCCAACGACGGCCACTCAACTGCAGCAATTTGCTGAATATCTTTTACGTGTTGGTGAAGGATGCGAGCCAGGTACCGCAATTCCCGAATCCGATGCAGTGACAATAAGCCTGCCCTCCAGATCATGCGTTGTCACTTCCAGTCTCGCCTCTGTAGTTCGCTCCGCCTACCCTGATTTGGATACAAATTACACTGACCGCGATTACATGACCAGCCGTGCCATATTAGCACCATACAACGGCGATATTCGCTCTCTTAACGATGTAGCATTATCAATTTTTCCTGGAGAAACGCACGAATATCTATCTTCTGATAAGATTGTCGACTCCGAGGCATTTGAAGCCACTCATCCACCAGAATACCTTCACACCATCACTCTCAATAGCTATCCTCCTCATCAACTTTCTTTAAAACGACACCAGCCAATAATGCTTCTACGCAACATCAATCCTCAAAAGGGCCTATACAATGGAACGCGGTTAATATGTCGAAATCTCTTACCACACGTTATTGAAGCAGAAATTGCTCAAGGCGACTTTGCAGGTATATACAATTACCTACTTCTGGATCGATTTTATACCTAGCTTATCAACACATTCTATTTGTTGACTAGGTGATATCGTCTATATTCCACGCATCAGTCTATACTCGAATGAAAATGATCTCCCATTTAAACTCTGCCGCCATCAGTTCCCTGTGGTCCCTGCCTTCGCAATGACTATCAATAAGTCGCAAGGTCAAACCCTCAATAGAGCAATGCTGTGCCTGTTTAAGCCAGCTTTCGCACATGGCCAACTATATGTGGCATTATCCCGCGTTCGCACTCCCAACTCTCTCACAGTTTTTCTACTTCCTTCCGACCCACCAACATCGCAACCATCACATTCGACCTTAAACATTGTGCACAGAGAAGCATTAACAACAGTTACAGCTTAATAGATACAACCACTTACTTTTTCTATATTCTAAATTCAATCCAGTCATTTCAGTAGCTTTAGGCTTAGGGTTTAGTCACATCGCAAGAATTGATAAAGGATCAAACGGCAAAACACTGATACAGCCTTGAATGCGGCCGCTACAGGGGGTTTGGGGGGCTTGCCCCCCAACAAAGGGGGTCTGGGGGAAGCCCCCAGCGAGCCGCCGAGCCGAAGCACCTTAGGGATTGACACGTAGCGAAGCGGAGGGGCTCAATCCCAAGGTGCGAAGGCGACAAAGGCTCGTGATGACTAATAACACCAATTTTATATATACCAATATCTTTCATGTCAAGCTCTACGATATATACCACATTCTTCATTGCCACAAAAAGCGTCATCATATCGAAATGCGTTTCATTTACCTCCTCCACTCCGCCACATGTAAAAATCAAAAGCATAGTATTGTATTAACGTACAACTAAACAGTAACAGAAAAGCATAACAGTATCTTGTTATTGTTCTCGACTGCATAAGTTTATCATATTTACATATTTCACAATTAGTTGAGTGAAAGGTTGTAGTTACTTGGTGGCAGGATATCTGCCCTAGATTCTACCTCATGCTAGTTTTTATGTTAGTTATAGACAATGTCGATTTGCAGTTGATTCTGACAAATACCTTTAGTGAGTTACACACATTTTTTGTCAATGGCATGGGAGAACGTATATCATTCTTCACCTCCATCAAAATCTGTATTGACAATATGTTATGGGCGTGCTTCTACAGCTTCTTCATCATCCATAATCGCCTCTTCTTCGGCGACAACATATATCATTGCCATTGGAATACGGAAGTTGATCATACAACACGTCTCCCACTGAAGTTTCGGTGTCATTCTCCTAATGTGGAGTATAAGTAGTATGAATATTTGTCTTGACGAAAGAAGCTGAACAAGTAGGGCCCTGTCTGTATATATATCTTTTACTATGCCCTTTAGCTCAAAAGACAATGGTTTGCTTGGAAAAGCTTGGTACGAATTTCTTCGTGTACAGTGTTCTTATTCTAGAAGTATAAGGTAAAGAGGTTTGGTTAAAGCATTTATCGCAAAGCTATAAGTATCTACACGCCAAGTTATAATTCGTTCATCAGACCTGTGATGGAGACATCGAAGTATATACGCTCCCACCCTCCCAAGTCCCATTTGGCCAGTCGCTTTGAAGATCTAGGACAGTAGAGATAGAGATTACCGTTCTCTTTTGTTCCTTTTTTTTTCAGTCAGTCGCTCAATAAAACACCGAATAAGAAAATCACAGCATGTATGCTTCTATGTCAGAATCGACGGTCTCCTCGAATTGAGCAGAGATTCATCGACCGTCAATTTTATATTCAATGTAAAGGAAATACTGTAGCTAATATCTCTTTTTGAAAGACATTTATTACAGTATTCGTTTTCTTTTTCTCTAGCTTTTACCACCGGTACACTAGCTTTTGTTGTTGCCAGATAACGTCATATCAACAGCCTTTTTCAGTTATAAACTCAATATACAACGAAACTGATAAATATGGTAAATAACGACAATTATCTATACACAAGAATATCGATACATATGCATTTTCAATAAGAATTTTCGTTTCAACATAGTGGAAAGAATCAGAGCCGTGTCCTCATCCTGCGAAAGAAAAATGAACGAAAGGATACCGGATACAAGGTGAATATAATTATATTTTATCTTGATGTTGAATACGGATGTGCTGAGGCAAGGCTTACATAAAGGTGGAAGCACACCATCGAAGGGCTTGAACGAAACCGGATCTCAAGAATGTAAAGCCGACGAGATGAATACTGCGTGCTGTTATATTATCAGCTAATGAAAGCTGGTCTCACAGCTGCACACAATAAACGGAATTACTATTAACTATATATGATAGAACAACACCGATCGTATAAGGGCTAACATATTGGTCGATTTTAGTTAGGTCGATGGATATTCGGTAAATCAGTCTGTGTGGTGATAAGGATGGGCCTGACGCGTTCGTGAAGTAATTGATGCCTTTGCAGATCATCACCTAGAAAGTTAAGCAGTCAACTTTACCTGCTCTTGGTAATAATGATTTGGAGGATCAAGGTACAAGAAGGTAGCTGCTAATCATTGACAAAGAATACTTGCTGCTCTTTCAAGCTCTTTCCGGTATTCGAAACGATCACCATACCAGCCAATGCAGAGCCCAATACTAGCTTAAATAAGACAATGGTGTGTATAATAGAGAAGAGGTGGTTGGAGTGGAACAAACAAGACCAGGAACACTATTTAATGCCTTGAATAGAAATCTGAGTATATTTGACCGTTGCCAAGCGACCAACAATAGCAGAATTTGTGAAGGAAAAAGGTCAATACATCGTAGCAACCATGACTTTCAGTTTTGACAGCAAGAATTCTGGTCAACAACAAGGTTTTTGAGTTCCTTCCACCATCACTTATCAGTTTTTCGCTACCTCTTTATTAACAGTAAATAGCAGTAGCGCAATCAGTAGCTCAAGGAAATCGTTTCAGTAGACTAGACTGTTTCAAAATCAATATGTATCGATAACTAAATTATTTTTATAATGAATCACAAAACGGATTGTGTACAAACTCAATGATCTGCTTTAAACAGTGACGGAAGAAAATAAAAGAACAGTGGCAGTATCTTTCTAATAATAACAGGATACATTGCTTGGTTATGTATTATGATCCATAGCCTGCTACATCTTTCCTTCAACCAAACTACCGAATAGTCATTACAGGTGTACGTAATCCTATATATTTCTTAGATAAGGCACGTATGATTTTGTATGTTGCTCCACCATATTTTCTAATTCTTCATCTCTCCCGTAAATGAGCTCCCTTTATCCTGTATACTTGTCTGTTACAATCGCATCTATAGTTTATCCAGTCTAAAATAAAAATATTGCCAGAAAAAAATGTCATTGATACATTAGCTTCCACAAAAGAGTTGCATCATTTGTAAGCTCGATAAAGTACATACAAGATTACCATGATGAACACACTAGTTAATAAATCTATCCCTGCTAGAATGCCATGACGACAGCTGGGGTTATTCGCAAGCAACGGAAAGAAGACCCCGGATCAGGCGCGAATTTAATGCAACACATCCTCGGGTAGCTCGAATCAGGCGCGAATTTAATGCAACACATCCTCAAACTATCACTCAATCCATTGTCCACTTGGAATTTATCCACAAGGACTCATCCCTGCCTATATACGTAGCACACGGCCACTAACATCGCAAGCAACGGAAAGAAGACCCCGGATCAGGCGCGAATTTAATGCAACACATCCTCGGGTAGCTCGAATCAGGCGCGAATTTAATGCAACACATCCTCGAACTATCACTCAATCCATTGGTTACTCGGGATTTATCAGAGTGGCAAACTCCTGCCCTTGCTGTCGTCGACAAAAAGAAGGAAACGAACTTTTTTTCAGCCAGCTGAGAATACACTGTTTAATTACCAATTACCATGTGTGTAATAGCGACTACCAGTGTGTAACATATCATGTGATTATAACAAGTCACTTTGTTTTTGAGAAACAAAAGGTATTGCGTGGCCCAGTTACTGTGCATTCAAGCTCTTTCTGGTATTCAAAGTCACCACCATGCCAACAGACGCAGCGTCCAGCATTAGAGCAAACAATGACAAATGCGATCAAGGTGTGTTTAGAAGGAAGGGGATTAATTAGAACAAACAACAACAGCGTTACTAACGATATCAATTATTTATTTAGAAATCCGAGCATATTTGACTATTGACAAGCAACCATCCATCGCAAAATTTGTCAACAAAAATTACGAATTCATGAAAGCCAATACACCAACAGGTGTTGATGTCGCTCAATTCTGGATAGCACGCATCCGAAACATGGCAAAAATAATGAATATCACCCTGGTAATATGAGTTAATTATTTAATTTTCTGTGAACTGCTCATATCTCTTAACACCTCGTTTTTATAGAAAAAAGGAGCTAAAGTTAGCTGGAAAAAACTGGAGGCGACATACAAGCAGCAGTCAAACTCGTCATCGCCATCGTCATCAGCTGCAGCAACATCAAAATCATCATCCGCATCAGTCCTTTTGTCGCCAAGTGACAAGGAAAAAATCGATGCCATATTTGAAAAACTTGACGATGAAAAAAAGTGGACCTTAAAATCAGGAACAGTAGTCGAAGACGTGATGCGTGAATTCGCAAAAGAATGTGATTACCTTCAGTAAGTATAAATGATGGACTAAGCATTGCATATATCAAATTACCATAACCTAACAAGCCTTATTACATTAAAATAGCCCCGTCCATTCCTTAATCCTGAACCCCTATGATGATTGTTGGCAAGCGCGGTTCACACAAAACGAGTTGCACGAAATCAGAAGCTACAAACCATTAAAGCTTGAACCGTTACCAAGCGAAGTGCAGCAATATTTCGATTCCTATCAAGGATTGGTATGAGCTATTCATAGATTGCACCCAATACGAAAGTTATTACATGAACTACAATGATTATATATTTTCTTCTATTTAGTGTGATCTCGACAGCCTGACTGAAAAAGTCATGAGCCAAGCAGCCTTCCACCCGAAAAAACAAGCAGAGGTCTACTGGGCCCATAAAGCAGTCATGGAAGCCCTTGACTTATTTAATTACGAATGGCTACCGATGGATGAACGAACAACTGAAGCTGACGTGGTACGACGTGTTTTTCCTTTTATTGAAAAATGCTTCGATGAATCGGCATTCACAATCATCAGGTGAGTGTATTATTAAATACTAGTAATATATGACTGTAATGATGATTAGTTATACATAAGAAAAGAAACTAACACATTATTTTATTTGGATATTAGCGGTGAAAAAGCTAGTATCTCTTCTAGCGAAAGAAAGAACGCAGCCCAGTGTATCACGGGTACGGAGACCGTTGATCGCAAGGATACCGGGCATAAAGTGGATGTAATAATAAGCTACCGCGATCTTGAGTATGGATGTGCCGAAGCAGGTTTAAAAGGTGGAAGCACGTCAACGAAATGGATCAATGAATCCGACATCAAAGTATCACGACTCATGAAAGACATGCTCTGGCGAATGTTGAAACCCAATCCCACAGCCATCAACAACGTCATTGTACCTGGGTTTGTCATCAACGGTATGGCTTCTATCAGAAAGCGTAATGAACCTGATATTGCTATTACTAATCTTTGTACAATGAAATTATAGGGTTGAATCTGATGGTTGAAATGATGTCGATTCCGAAGCATTATGTCTGTATCGTGCACAAGTTTGGTCCGATGGCCTTCCCAGACCAAATTGAAGCTTTTTATAAGCAATTGGTACCTTTGCTGACATTGACATGGCAAACGAAAGCGGTCGTGAAAAAGACCTTGAAAGCTCTCAGTAATGATCAAACCGTTTTTATCCCTACCCCTCTTACACCAACACCACCTTCCGTTATTCCACCTTGTCCACCATCACCGCGAGTAGTAAGCAAAGGCACAAAGCGGAAATCTCCCGAGGAAGATGATGACTGAGCCTTTTTTGTATATAATATCCTTTCCTGTATGTAGTACCCATTTTTTTATCAATTTTTATAAATACCAATATCTTCCATCTCATTATCATGTCAAGCTCTACCGTATATACCACAATCTTCACTGCCACAAAAAGCGTCATCATATCGAATTCGTTTCATTTACCTCCTCCAATCCGCCACATGTGAAAATTATAAGCAACGTAAAACCAAACAGTAACGGAAAAGCATAACGGTGTCTTGTTATTGTTCTTGACTGCATAAGTTTATCATAGGAACTATATTTACCCGAGGTTGATGCCAGGCTCCCCGTCGGAGGGTGTGATGCGATGCAGCCAACGAACAGGTAATATATAGTCCAGAACAGCGAATGAAAGTGTACGATATAGTCAACCCCACCGGTGTCGTAAGGTCCGCTGGTACCATCGACTTGGATAGTGTAACCATGGCATAAATGAAATACGCCCTCTGGGCTATTGTCGTCTTTACGTTTCTCCTCCAATTTTCAGTTTTGATTGCTTTCAACGTGTCAACGTGCGTATATCGTAGGTTTTTTTTTCGGCAGATCATATTATGTTATTAACCGTTCAGGAAAATACTTTACAGGAACAATGTCGTCTTCTACTGTGCCGCAGACAAAACACCAAATATGCAGCACTTCCGATTCATACCAGTGAACAAGAGCGACAGTTGTTTTCCCGTTTGCTCAATAGCTTTAGGCGCTCAGATGGTCGCGAAGCAGCTGGATTGTGGGCTCGATTTGCCAAGATCTGGAATACAAAGCATGCCGACGGTTCAACTATATTCTACAAATTCCCTCAGTTTCTTCAAGCATACCATACAACACGGAAGCATGCTCAAGATATTCGCAAAACCATATCAAGAGCCAAGAATACGCTAAAACAAGTGGTTTATGTTGAACAACGTTGCAACCAAGCAGTGTCCGCCTTGAAGCGCGTGAGCTACCAACAGTGAATGCCCAACCTTATGACCATCAACGCAATCAAGTAGTTTCTTCTTCAACAGTTCCTCAACAGTCGAGACAGCGACGTTTACAACCCAGAGCAGCACCCGGGATACATTTTCTCAATCCAAATGTTCTGTTGGTATTCCAGCCACCAATGTATTATTTATCATTTATATCTGTTTTATTCAGTAAATCACATAATTCATCTATTTTTAAAACTAAATTTTCTATCACCTCAACTGCAGAATCCTACACCGCATCCAACGTTACCATCGGCCGCATCTTCATCGCATCAAAATCATTTCAGGAAGCCGCCTAGGTCGCGCGCGTGCCAACAATGTTTTAAAGTGGGTTGCAAGGGTAGCCAGAACGCGAAATTACGTGAAACCAATGCGAAGCAAAGCGCTGCGAAAAAGCGCCGGGTACAAATAAAGCCATATTCGCGTGTTTTTTAGATATTTTGATGGAATTATGGTGCTCATAAGCAATAATTACGTGGATGAGCTGAAAAGCTCTAATCCACACACATGGTCACGGAGCCGAAACGCCAACTTTTTCTTTCTAGTAGCATTTTTTTCCAGATCGGCCTAAACAATCACTTCTACTTATGTAATACATGGTGTCTATGTTGCACTCTCATTCACTGGATAATTCATACACATTCATGTTAATACGCGGCATACTTACTTTGTTCTGCTCACCAAACATCGAGTATCGTGGATAATTTTGTCAGGACAAGAAGTAATCATATGAAATTAAGAGTAGGAAGCAAGCAAAAAAAAAGTTAATACAGCGCGCATTGCCTGGATTGGGGTAGCTTGGTGTCCATGCGTGTGCTCGACATGTAGATAGAGATAGCCATTGGGCTTATCGACTAATCCCTTGATATAAACCCCACAAAGGAATGTCTCCATACGCGTATGCAATCGCACGCGATCGCCATCAGGAACTTGGTGTTGCACATCGAATTCTTGAGAGCACTTATGCAAAAACGACCAAGAAAACTTCTTCCCGGGTTCGGTTCGAAATACATGGTAGTAATTGTAACTGTCGATGGGCTTGAATGCGGTCAATGATTGTAGCAGTAAGCTCCTGATCTGCCATTGTCGAAAGCTGATCATCGAGTTGAACGTAGACATGGAGAGAGTAACCTTCAAGAGTGTCGTTTGCGTTAGGAAGATCATTACGAGACGGAATCATAGCCTCTACTTCTTATATCGTTACGAGCAATTGGTCTGGAATGGGTTTTCCGACGTCACTCTGACGTTCACGACACAATCTACACGTTTTGTAGTTTCGTGTCTTGCCAACAAGCAATTTAACAGGCCGGTTTTCGAACTTGCAGTTAGAGCAAAACTGAACATTTTCGCGGATGATACGATCCATCTCGTGGATGTCTTAAGTAAGAGGTGGGTGTTGATTATGAGTATCCAGTGCCGATAATGTTGACTTGCGATGTGAGGTAATCGAGTTGTTATAAAGGATAAAGAATAAAAGCAAAAATAAAGTTGGCGTTTCTCCACCGGCTATTTAATTGTCCGAGAAAGATTAGGTCACGTGCCCGTGAAAAAATTAAAACGGCTGGGTAGGTGGGTGATCCATCCTTAAAATTTCGGTCGCTCGAGCAGCTCTGATTTCTGATTATTATCTACACGCCAAGTTATAATTCACCATGTGCCAAATTAAGAATTTCAAAAAAAAAAAATCCAACGTCAAAACGAAAAAAACGTCGTGCCAAGTAAAAAACATCCCTCTGCCAATGTGTTAGTCCCCCCCACCGCCGCCTTAAAAAGATCAGCCGCGAAATCATAGGAAAAAACCTGTAGTACGGCGAATAGCCAAGTGGTACAAGAACGGACTGCAATTGTCATCTGATATGTAAATGTAGCGTTCACACTTTTTTTTTTCTCTCGCATGGCACCGATCCGTTGTTTGGACGCACAAAAACAAAAAGAAAGTATCCTTAACGGTGCTATTATAACGGCATGATGATAACGACCCATTCCCTCTTGCAGACACCAAACGACTCAACTTATCATGAGACCCACGTGGACAATTCTTCTTTTTCATTTAACTTGAGTCTTCTTTTTTTTATGTGGGATCATATTATTATATACAATAGAGAGATAACAATAAAAATAGTACAGACTACTGAAGTGTGTTGTGTGATGTTTTTTGTGGGAATGTATGTGTTTTGTGGGTATGCGAGTCTGATGAGAAACTATGAAGATGATGATGAAGGTGATGGTAATAGTCTTGGTGATGATATAGAAGAAGGAGGAGGGCGAGGGGGGCAAGAAGACCATTTAATGGCACTTTTATCTTTTTGTGGCTGTGGTTCCTGCTGCTGTCGCTGGCGAATGGCAGGGCGACGTACCACCCAAATCATGCGTATCAAGCCCTGATAAACAACCCAGGTTGCCATAAGGGACGCCACCGATTTTGTAATGGAGATAAGCGTAAAGACAAGCTCCAAGAGATTACCGCTGCTACTAGCAACAGTGCCACTAGTGTTGTTGCTGCTGCTGCTGCTGCTGCTGCTGTTACCATTTCGGGAGGTAGCAGCAGTTTTCCGAAGCGGCGGGATGAACCAATCTTTGACACGGCTGGTCACGCCTACCATGAGTTCCCATAGGTCGTCGTCCTCTTGGTCGTCGTCCTCATCGTCTTCGTATGACCAATAAGGATTCCAACCTTCATCGCCGCCAAGGAACTCTCGTACGGGTGATTCGGGAATGAAATACTGGATTTTTGTAGATTCGGGACTGAACCGGACAAAGTTGCTATGCGTGGGCGTGGCAGGTGGCGGGATGGACACAGAAGATGATGTGGATGCAATGGATGAAAATGAAGGTATCCGTTCGTCGGCGGTAGCGCTGCTGCTGCTGCTGCTGCAGATACTATCTTGTTCTCGTCGTCGGCGTACATAGATGGATGATTTCAAAACAGGTTTAAGGCCATCGTGAAGATGGTCGTGCTGCTGTTGTTCTGTTTGATGATGAAGCGAGACATCAGTTGCAGCTGTGCTGGTAGGAGTGCTAGTCGTGGTCACCATCTCAGCTTGGTCGTGCTCATCAGCATAGAGTGGACCATAGAGCCCTAGCAGCAATTGAGATAATTTTTAATGTGAGTAAATATCTGTCGGCGGGTGGTGTGGCGTGGTTTGTTGTTGTTTTTTGTTGAAAACAGTGTGTCTTACATGTGATATCAGATTCCTTCTGCCTGAGCAACCATAAATAACAAACATGGTAAGTGAACAGATTTCTTTCATATTGCCAGCATTTGAGTAGCAGCAACAGCAGCAACAGCAGCAAATGAGAAAAAGAGAAAGGAAGAGCAGCTTTACCAGTTGACTGTGGAAGGGTGCACCAAATGATTGTGCTTGCCTAAACGGGATGTGCAGATTCTGGCCATTTGCCGCCATAACGCATTTTGGTATCGGCTCAGCCGCTGGTGCTCTAGACGTAGCGACTTGTTATCGGGATCATTGCCCAGCTTGCTGCTCATCGCACGTATCTGTTTGTGTATTTGCGTATGCGCACAGATTGCATCGCTGGCCTCCCAATCGTGCGAGAGATAATCGACATGGACTCGCGCTTTCATTGATGGCGTCGTGTTGTGCTTTGTCGTATATTTGATGCTGCTGCTTTGGTTAATAGTGAGTGTTACAACTGTCTCGTTATGAGCCTTTGCTGCTGTCCCTTTTAAATAAGTAGAAAACGAAGGTCGTGTTCAATCGAGAATCGAGTGGATAGGAGTAGGAGGAAGAAGAAGAAGGGGAGGAAGAGAAAGAAGGACTCAAAAGGGTTTTATGGTTTTTTTTCCTTACATCTCGGCAACTCACACGCCTCTTTTTTCTCTTCCGACCTAGACACACACCCCCAACAATAACACAACAACAACAACAGCACCCATATCACGCTGACATCCTGATACAAACGGCTGGCGATCGCCCAATCTTACTCCAAACACTAGCTGTTTATGGTACTGCCTCCAAAGGTGTGTAATAATGCTCGGGCCACGATTCCCACACACTAGCTTGTAAAACCTTACGAATACTAAACTATTGGGATGGTCGCGGCCCCTCTTCGCTTTCAAAATTAGAATGTGTAACACGGTCTGTGCATGTGCGGATAGAGGGAGAGAGGAAGCAAGGGCCACAGCTCTTTCCGTCCCGCTTGAAACGAATCAAGGACGAGTTGTTTCCATGGCAGCAGTGCAACACGTTTAGCAACAACATCCCATCATGTCCCCTCGGCAACAACGCAAAACAGAAACAATGGTAGAAACGAAACGATTATCATATTTACATGACAAATGATCAAATGACTTTCCGGAGCTCACTCTCCTATCTGTACGTTAGCTGTCTGGTGAAATTGGACCCGGCGGGCAGGAGGTTGGTGTTTGAAAACACACGACAATTTTCCATTTTGATACTGTGCTGCGGCCCGGTTGGACATGCACATTCTCAGATATTATCACCAGAGCACGTTAAACTGTTTTTGTTTGTCTCTCTTAGTCAAACCCTATTCTATTTGTCATCGTACACTGGGTGAGAACAGCAGAGAAGGCGCCTGCCTATCAATATCAATATGTAAAAGCAAACGATAGGTGGTTTATCTTGCTGCTGCTTATTGCTGTGCATATTACCTGACTGTACAGAAAGTGGTGGCAATAACAGTCGACGTGTGTACGTGCATGTTTGCATCATGATTGGATCAACCCCGTTCCGCAACGACCGATTAAATTCAATAATACATCGATAAAATGGCATGACATGATCTTCATATTTGCTCACTACCAGCTACGATTAATAATAATATCAACATTATCTTTAGGACCGTTTTCTTGCGTTGCGCATCCACCCAAGCATCTGGACCAGCAAGTGATGCTTGTCCCCCGAACCGCAAGAATCTCCGACCCACCTGCTGTGCTGTGCTGTGCTGTGCCGTGCCGTTCTCTCATTTCTTTATTCTGCTTCATTGATACTGCAACCTATACCCACTCTTTCCATTTACAACCCTTAATAATAATAAAAAAGAAGCCATGGCTGTCGATTTGTCGTCACGCATTGTGTAATTTGAAACACTTTTTTTTTTCTCAGGGGGAGAGTGGGGATTAGATCCCTCCTGCTCCCTTAAAGTACATTGAATTTAAACTCTAAACAAGTACCTTTTTCTTGTGCCCTTTTGTACATAGACAATTTAATTCGGTTCAGGAAGAACTTGAATACTACCGTTCCCATGCGGAGAATCTCGAAGGAACGCTTCAGGAAACCAGGGCCGCCCTGGACGAGTTTCAGGTGTCTTCACGTGAACTTGAGGAAGAACTTGAGAAGGAACTACAAACTACGGAAAAGGCTTACAAGGACCTGAAATCCCGGTGCGAGCATTACAAGTTCGAAGCAGACGAATGGAAGGTATATTGACTGCTTACCTAGCTAGCATCTCCTTGTTGTTACTCTTTTCTTCCAACACTGTCATTCAATCGCTGACGTTTTGCTTTAACTTGCTTTGAATCATACATTTGCAAACAACGCAACGTTTTCGTTCAGTCCAAGTATACAAACGCGAAACATGAACAGAATACGGCGACGCTTCAGATGCAGCGTGAAATCGATATCTTGAGAAGAACAGAAGAGATGTTTCGACGCAAGATTCTGGAATTGGAGCTTGATAATGATGATCTAGAGCGTACAGAGAGGTTAGTAAAACATGTATATCTCATCTCTATTTCTGTGCAATTAATCTTTGCTTAAATTCCGCGTGTAGAGCGGCCACATCTTCACTGTCTGATCTAGAAGTCAAATTGAACAAAGCCATCGAGCGCAATGTTATCCTTGGTAAAGATTTTTGACATTTTTTGTTTTTTTTGCAAAGAATATCCAGGAACAGTAAGTGGGGTTTCTGATGCTCGATCATCGCAAAAAAAAAAACTGGATAGAAAACGAGATTGCTATCAAGGATAACTTGACCGAACAAACCCAACGTTTGAGGGATGAATTGAATGGTAATCAACTAGATGTTATACGGGAAATGTTGGAGAATTTGGAGTAGAAGAGAGGGTTCATGAAGTCCAAAATCTGAAAATAACCGAGTGCTTGCTCTATATTCAAGATGTCAATCACGAACTATCCGTTTCACGACAACGATCCACGAAGCAGGCCGAAACGATTCAAGATTTGGAAAGCAAGCTAGACTCATCTGAACGATCGTGTAAAGACTTGCAGCGACAACTTGATCGTCATCAACAAAATGGATCGCCGTCTCGATCCAGCACACCAGATCGACTGGGAAGCATGCAATATGATCCGACGTATGGGCGCCGAACACGTATACCCAGAACAAATAGTATTGGCGGCAATATGAACGGTGTCAATAGCGCATCTAACCCGGTTAAGATGGTGCAAGAAATGGTGGGCCGTGTCAGGGTATGTTGTCTTTACATTAATCTCTTTTATCTCTGTGGAGCGATTGTATATGCTGAAACACTTTTGCATGGATGATGGATAGAACCTGGAAGCACGATTGCAATCCTGCCGATCCTTGGTCACGCCGCTCCTTAATCCACCACCCTCTTATAGCTCTACGATCCCCGCGGGTAGCCGTCCATCATCACCCACATCGAGCATACGGTCGGGTAGCCCAATGCAATTCTCTAATATTAAGGCACGACGACCATCCGAATACATGCGAACTAGCGAAGATGGTGACTCTGAGAACTGAAGTTTAACAATAAAGTGACTTTATCGCATTCTGTCTATTCTTGTGTTCGCAAGTCATGGGTTAAAAGCTAGAAATTTGACCAGTTACAACTAGATGACTCGCAAAACGAAAACTTTGTAATCCATCGCTCAGCGCATTATTATACTTGAGAAAAATATAAACAATTGAAAATAAAAATTTAAAAAGGTATCGTTATTAGTATAAGTACTTGCAAAAAAAAAAGTAAGTTAAGAAAAGGTTCAAAAGGGGGAGTCCCCACTGTCAGTGGCAATTACTTGGTAAATTCTCTCCGACGTGCTATCTTGACAGCCGTATCAGTGCTCTGAGTTTTCCCTGCTGTATTGCTACCCTCGGGCGATACCCCAGTATTGAACAACCTCCCAGCCCAGGCCTACGCCCGAACCCGAATGTTGACACCAAACTCTGCAAGACACTGTCTTCGGCAAGACAACCAAGCAACCGTGATTCCACCGACAAATGGATTCATCCCTTTAAAGACCGCCACTCGGCTTACAGAAACACGCTACGGTTTCCGGTCATTTAATATCTAAAGTTCGAAAAGTTTATAAGCTGTAAATTACGTTGCAATGTGCGACTTGTGGGTTTCAGCGGGGTTGGCTGTAGTCATTTTAATACCGTATACACACGGTAAACAGTTCGTGCTATTAGAGAAAAGGTCCAGTGATCTTGAGAGCATACACACACGGTCTTCTTGAGCTCACTAGCTATCATCAAAGAGTTATTTTGGTTATATTCGTACCCTTGGGTTCGGTGAGAATAATCTAGTCAAGCCGTGATATATACATACTTGCCCGACATTCTCACAGTTGTAGTAGCAGTGGTCCCACCACACTGCTCTTACAATTCTTCACGTTATTGTTGAACGAATCATTTTTTATTTATTTTTGATACTATATATTGTGCCTCGCGAACGGGCACGCAAGGGAAAAAAACACTTATCACACACACACATACATTTGAAAGAAAAAAACACAAATAGAATCGAATTCTAGCGCAAGCCCAAGCGACCCTTTTCACTTTCCAAGCGAGAATACAAGAGATAGAGGGCCATTTGGTTGCTTTCCGGCGTGCCAGTGATGGTGACCAAGCGCTCGTTCGTATTACCATGAGGATCCGCAATCTTGATATGACTTCCACTCAACTGTCGAATCTCATTGATCTTACTGCCACCCTTGCCAATAATACAACCGACCTATGTACCGAAATAATACCAATGAAACATGTTAGAAGATATACACTTACAGAACGTCCATCAAAAGATTCAGAAAGTGTATGGAGACTTACCATTTCGTTTGGAATGAAAATCTGTTGAGCTTGCGAACTGGCCACCATACCAGCCATGCCATAATCGCCTTGTCGGCTCGACGAACTTGGCATACCTCCGTAAGCACCTGCAGCAGCAGCAGCAGCGGCAGCCTGGTAATAAAATTGAGGGTTGGCTCCGCTCATCGGCATGCCTCCCATGTGTCCCATCATGGCTGCTCCATAGGGGTTCATTGACGAGGCCGCTGCTGCTACAGCATTCGCTCCTCCGCTAACTCCTGCTGAGCTCGACCGGGTACTACCACCCATGCCGCCATGATAGCTTCGAGTTGACATGTTTGTCCCCTGAGGCTGCGGACGATACTGGACAGTCGAGCTTGCGTTCACGCGTTCCGGGTGTTCGGCCAAGATCTCGCTGATTTGCTGGATGGCGGATTGGACAGCATCGGTTGTGCCCACAATGGTCACCGTACGTTCGGTCGACAAGGGCAACGGCTCCTCGGACGCGTTGACACGTGCGTGGCTGTGTTCTTGGATAGACCGTATAACGCTGCCGCCACGGCCAATCAATGTACCCATACGTTGGTCTGCTACAAGAAGTCGGATCGTCAACGATTGGTCTTGACCCTCGTCAGGATTTGGCATTTCCAAGAGAATCTTTTGTGCCACAAGTGCATAGGCCTGTGACAAAATAAAAAACAGAGAGCGAGGGGTTAAAAACATGCATGTGAAACACATCTTTTCTACGCTGGTTTTTTTAACCCGATTTACAATAACATCGTCTATAACATTACCTTTGCAACAGCATTCACAGGACCAGTGACGGTCAGGATACGTTCATAAGCCATAGGAATGATATCCGAGATGGTCACCCGAGCAGCAGACATTTCACGAATTTCGCTCACGTTTTTACCACCACGACCAATGATCACGCCGGCATCCTTGGTGCTGACCAACGATCGAATCGATACTGAGGGAACGCCTGGTGGAAACGAAGCCAACGACTGTGCGTCCGAGCCAGCTGCATCGTAATGGACTGCTGATGCTGAAGTCGATGCTGCAGCGGCCACTTGGGCTCCGGTGTTGTTCGCAGCAGCAGCGCCATCTGGACCGTTCGCGCCCTTTGACTCGCCGTTGCTGTCAAGCAGAATCTGAACCTCGTCATCCTCGTTATCGTCCGAATCTTGAGAGCCACCTTCTTCCCACTTCTTCCGTCGGGATCGTCCAGTGCCGCTACCATTGTTAGCACCAGCCGATTGTGTGGCATTGTTGTTGTTGTTGGATGCTCCTGCAGCGCCAGTAGCAGAGGCGGAAGCAGCAGATGAAGCAGCCGCACCGTTGCTTTCGTGTCTGCCTGTGGTGTCCGAGTCAGGCTCTGTGGCACCGGCAAAGTGAGGTGCTTTAGTTTCAGGATCGGGAACGGCTTGACGTTTTGGGTGACGATCGTCTTGGCCATCGCGCTCGTAGTCAGAATCCCAATCACCGTCTTCGAGACGAGGTCGCTTGGATCGATCTGTAGGAGAGCCGTTCATATCTACTTCTGTTGTGGACATGCCGATATATTTTATGGTCTGTATTGTTAAATCAATAAGCAAAACACTGGACTCTTGGTTTCTCGTTTTTCCTTTGGATCGAGAAACAGAGTAGCAATATGGTGTATGTGCCAAGGGACAAAGAAGAATAGTGTGTCTGCATGCTTTGCATCACAGCGCTTACCCCAAAATCCTCTTTTCACAAAACACTTTAGGGTAAGGGCAAAAAAGAAAAAGACAAGTAACTTTACCTTTGACTATGTGTACTTATTTTTTCCCTGTCGTGATAAAAGTGCACAAAGTCAGTTAACCACATAAAAGTATTTTTTTAAAGACATCTTACCGATTACAAAAAAGGAATGTCTGCGCCCGTTCAATCAAAAGAAGCAAAACGCGAGTAAGGTGGGATGGATGAGTTAGGTGGAAGAGAAAAAACAGGGCTTTTGTCTTTTGTGGTGGTGGAGTGTATGTAGTGGTGGTGGAAAATGGTTAAAAACCGGTGTTTCTTTGATTTCTGTGAGAATGGATTGGGTAGAAGATCAACTGTTTAGAAAGGAATGCATGCAAAGAAAAAAGAGGATTTTCATAGAAAATGCTTTCTGCTTCTTTTTTTTGCTGCTGCTGCCGCTGCTGCTGCCGGCCGCCACCCACCGCCACCCATGTAAATCAAATCAATACAAAACAGATCTTTTGGGGTGGGAGAGAAAAAAAAATGCTTCTTTTCTTCATGCATGTGAACGGACAGACGAAGGTAGCGGCAAAAAGGTGGAGCAGAGTATATAAAGAATCATTGAGTGTGAGAGAAAGAGAGAGAAGAGACAATACCGGTCGCTTGTTTGAATGAACCCGCGTGGAAGGGTTCTTTTGTATGTGTTGTGCGTAAGTGTGTAGAAAGAAAGAAAGAAAAGAGACGACTCAAAAAAATAGCGGACGGCGGGGCCGGACAGGCAAATTTTAACGCACGTACAACACAAGCAGCAGCAGCAGCACGTGTCAGGCAGCAGAGCAAAAGTTTTCAATTTGCCCTTTCCGGACGGTTTATGCGTTCGCTGTGGATGTACGCTTCTAAAGTCGTTTTGGAGAATACGGTTCTTTCTGTAATTCTACTCAAGATCCTCACAGACGAAGAAGACTCTTATTTTTTTGGGGGCGCTTGGCAGTAGCGGTACAAGAAACGTTTTGATTGGTCCATGTGTGTTACCGACCCACCTCGTTAGCAACATGCAGTATTTGACGATCCTTGTTTCGGCTCTTCCTACTACATCAGGGCCTATCTCATGATCTGGTAGCGCTCTTTCTCTCTCTCTCTCTCCCCTGTGTGTGTCTGCACAATCGTTTCATGTCAGGCACACAGCCGTGGAATTGACGTGTGGCCTATACAAAAACTGCCGCGTTGAAGATTCTTTAACCAGTATTGTTCCGGTTGACTGTGCAACCACTCGATAGAGTTCCTGCAGATACTGGTATAGCTAGCCAAAGGTCCGATGGTAGACTATTTATCTGGTACCTTTAGCCACTGTGCTTAACAGCACCTTGGTCAACGTCTCAGCAAACGGACAATCCAGTAGCAGGAGAAGGAGTGTGTCTTTCCCCTCTTATGAGTTGTATTCGAAAGGGCAGCAGAATACACCTGCTCCTTGACGCTGAAAGTGCTCGTTGCAGTGCAGTGATGGGAAATAAATAATGAAGAGCCATACCGGATATAGCATCGTTTACTTTTGCCAAAAATAAAACCGCATAAACCTGGATCCTTCGAAGCTCGGAGAACGCGTCTTTATCTCTTTTCCTTTCTTTTCCCACTTTTCTTATCTCAGTTACTCGACGAAAGAGCTTTCAATATGGTAGGCCAAAATGTGTCTTCATGAGAAAAGGCAAAGGGAATCTTAAAGCTCACACTGTGTTTCGACTATGGTTAGACCGTCAAAGTTGGTGATGAAGTAAGAAGACGATTCTCTATTTCCGTCTTCCTACACCCGGTAGTTTAACCAGATAGTGCTCATATTTAAAATCATTTTTAATGATAGATTCCTAATGGCGAGTTGACCTACGTTCCCTACAACGAAAAGGAAGAGCTGAACGCATGCACGGTGTAAGTCATAGTGTATTCGGGTTATGGTTAGTGTCCCAGAAAAACGAGATGGCTTACTGCTGTTACGGTATACCTACAGTCCACAGCCTTACAAGATCCACGACAACCTCAAGAACAAGAAGGCCGTTATCTTTGCTATCCCAGGTAACAAATCATCCATGTTGATAACAGCGCATGACACACGAAGCATATAGAAGCTGACGATGTGGATGACAAACTGTACTCAACGTTGTAGGTGCGTTCACGCCCACCTGCACCCAGGAGCATCTCCCCGGTTTCGTCAAGAACTACGATGCACTCAAGGCTAGGGGTGTGGATGAGGTCATCTGCGTTGCTGTCAATGATGGATTTGTTATGAACGCCTTTGGAAAAGTGACAGGTGCCAACAAAAACATCATTTTCGCTGGTGATGGTGCTGGTACCTTCACCGAATCACTTGATTTGACGCTGGACTTGTCTTCGCTTGGTATCGGTAAGCGTTCTAAGCGCTATGCCATGATTGTCGACAACCTTGTCATCAAGTACTTGGGTGTGGAATCTGGCGGCAACGTCGAGGATTCTTCTGCTGAGGCAGTCTTGGCCGAACTGAAATAGGATATCATCATCCGTGTGAATATACGCCTATGCACTTGTGCTCACCGACAGCCACGACAACAACAAACAAATAAAAAACTAGTGCTTTCTTCACATTCTTTTCGCTTGAATTTGTTTCGTGTATCGAGAAAAAAAAAGTTTAGGAGAGCGACGTAGTGTAACCCAACAGCTGTTGTTGAGCCATGTTTTTAGGCTATTATTAAACGTTATTTTCATATGATAGATATGATTCTAATATTTCATCGAGTATCAGCGAGTCTATATTTGCTTTTGAGAGGTGTTTACCGATGTAACTTAATTGAGTATGATATATGCTACAGATTTATATATCTATAAATGATTAAACTCGAGTGTTTTTTTGGGCTGTGCTACAGTTGTTGCCCGGAACAAAGCAGTATATAATGAATATATTGCTAGCATATATGACAAGATCAATGAAGCCATGAACATACTTTAATAATGTTTCCGTTATTTCCCAACGCAGACCATTCCTCTACTTCCAGATTACGCGAAATAACAAGTGCTCTCTCTCCATTTTTGTTGCTTCACATCACTTTACTAACTTCTACTTTATAGCCAAGTCTATGATCCTCCAAATTTATATGCATTTACAAGGCTCATACGAGCGACTGGCGACGTAGTACTGAACCTTACAAAAAAAAAGCGAGCAGCCGTGAGTACAATTTGATGTGTTGGTTTCTCCATAAGTCTATATGGCTACATACTACCATGTGTGCTTTTCTAACGGGCAAATGTTCATAACGAAAGCGTTGATATGGTGTAGATTGCTAAATTCATGCTAGGTAACCTTGTTATTCAACCAGTGATAGGCCTGTTTACCGAAGAATAGTGTCATTCATGAGCCCATTACATCCAAAATCTTGGCTTCAACACATTCCTCTCCGTCTTATTAAAAGCGTAAAAATTCACCATATTGTTATTACATATCGTTGCTAAAACTGTAATCGTCCTAACACCAAGTTGAGGCATTATCTTTTGTTTAGTAAGTTTCATTGAATGCCACACACGGTCACCCAGAGACGCCTTCATATTGAAAGGATTCACTGCAAGCAAAACAGATGTGATGAGCCGCGGAACAATGTCGTGAATGATATTCCGGGTCGGTTCTCATTTCAAGTACGTTTGGCAGCAGTACTGTGGACGGCATTATTCCCTTTTTACTTCTGAAATCTTAAAATGAGCAACTGCACGAACGCAGGTTCTGAAGGTATAGAAGCTGACAGAAACGTGTATTAGCAATTAATAAACTTACGTTAAGTTCTGTGGCGCATACAGTAATAAACGGCCATCAAAATGTAAAGATCCACCGTGCGACCCCAGATTGTATTTGTTATGCTTCAAAGTTTGTTCAAATCTGCACCATCTTCATAAGTCAATCATAAATGACTTCATTGATTATTTCGTCTTCAAAAGAATCGTTGACAAGCTTTTGATACAGAAGTGCCTTTCTTTTCTAATTAAAAGATTCAGGCGTGGATGGTCTGAAAAGAGAAGGAACAAGGTAAAGACAGTGAGACTAAGAGAGCCCGATGAACAGGTGTACCGATTAATTTGCTATACGTCTCTAATTCTGGGGACCAAAATTACGTCAAAATATAAAATACCAAAGCATGCAAAGAAAAATAGAAAGCTTATGCTTGAGATGCATGTCATTTGTCCAATTAGCCCATGCAATGCTCTAATGGTGTTTCAAATGGGACAGCTGTGATTAATTTTTTTATAAGCAAAGAAGGTAAGTGTCAACTCGACACGTAATATCTCACTCGCTTGTTTGTCGCTGCTGTGCAAATAACACGTTGACTTTCCATGAACATGGTGTATGGAGTGGCTATGTCAAAACGTGGCCGATAACAGGGATTTGCTAAGGCAACGAATGAGGTGACAACTTCATGCGCTTGAGTAAATTTGCCGAACATTTGAAGTCAGGGTCCGGTTCCCTGGTTACGGCAGCCGTGGAAACCAACAACCAGAAATTAGCAGTGCATTCTGTCGAAAGAGCAAGAACAACACTAGTGTATATGGCATGCTTTTTTTTTCTTTTCTTCAACTGCAATCTTCCAAAAGAACATGAAACACCGGAATCATCCGATCGTTGAAGCGAGTCAAAACGTGCGCCAAGGCGTACAGACTCACGGATCTGTACAGATAAGAGTTCGCGTTGTACTCGCACAGACACACACACATACCTAAAAAGAGCGACGGCAGGAAACGTCACGCCATTACAACAGCATGAGACAAGTCCGTGTAAAGTGACACTTAAAACCCATGCTGATTGCTATAAAAGCTCGGGAAAAATTGCCACTGGAGAAAAGCCCAACAACTCTTTCCCTTTATTCTCGCCTTTTCATCTTTTACACTTTTTTCTCCCAACTCAACAAACAACAACAACAAACAATGGGTGGTAGCAGCAAAGTCGCTATTGTCGGTGCCGGCTCTGTCGGTGCCACGATTGCTTATGCAGTCATGCTCCGGGACGTCGCCTCGGAAGTCTTGATGGTCGACGTCGTTCCAGATATCGTTCGCGGTCAGGTTCTTGACTTAAGTGATGCCAACTTGGTCAGCACCACTAAGGTGCGTGGTGCCACGAGCGAGGAAGCTGGTCAAGCCGATGTCATCATCATTACTGCCGGTGCCAAACAAAAGGAGGGTGAATCGCGCACTCAGGTAAGATAGCATATCCATGTGAAATGCTTCCTCTATCAGTTTTTGGGCAATGATCAGTGGGAAAATTGATGAATGTATGTCAGAAATGCTCTAATTGAAACCTTACCCCAAAATTACCATTGATAGTTGATCGATCGAAACTACAAGATTCTAAACAGCGTCATTGGCGCCATGCAGCCTATTCGCAAGGAAGCCATCATGATTCTCGTCGCCAACCCCGTCGACGTCTTGACCCATATTGCCCACAAGCTCTCTGGCCTTCCACGCAACCAAGTGCTTGGCTCGGGCACCTTCTTGGATACTTCTCGTCTTCGTGTCTATCTGTCTCAAAAGCTAAAGGTCGCTGCATCCAGCATCCACGCATTTGTTTTGGGTGAACATGGTGATAGCCAATTTATTGCGTGGGAGTCGGCGACGGTCGCCGGTAAACCCTTGTTGTCATTCCCCGAGGTGCAGGCTATGGATAGGGCTGAGGTGGAGAAGATGATTACAAACAAGGCAATGGAAATCATCAAGCTGAAGGGTGCTACTTATTATGGCATTGGTGCTTGTACTGCATCGTTGGTCGAGGCCATCTTGCTTGACAAGAGCGAAGTCCGCCCTCTTTCTGTCTATGTTGAATCAATGGGAACCGTGCTTTCAGTGCCTGCCAAGCTTGGCTATAACGGTGTTGAAAAGATCTTTGACATTCCTCTCAGCAAGGAGGAGCGCGGCCGCTTGGAACAGAGTGCCGAAACTCTCAAGGAAATCTGCTCAAAGTATCAGTAAAAAAAACACGACTCATGCATGCATGCGTACAACATTTCAGAAATAGCATTTGTATATAATTTATACTTAATCCACAAATAAACAAACCATATAAAAGCAACACAATAAACTACTTTCACTTTTTTCATACGCTCCGGTCGTGAATGGACCCAAAGGGTTCTCATGCGCATGTTGCCACCACCTTCTTCTTCCAACTTCAGTAAAAGCCCGCAATATAGATGGTTTTTACAAGAAATACCACAGAAACATGGTTACGCTTAATCTGGATAATCGGGTGCGGGGGCCCGAATGATTCCAGAACACCGGGATCACACCAGTGACACTGTATACATGGATTGAGGAAGTCGATTGTGGACCTCTTGCATTGTAGTAGCATTGTCATACCTCAGGTGGTAAGCACAGAAAAGTCAACTTCAGCTACATCATGCAACAAAGTTGGCCTTTGCTGTTTCGGATTTATGTCTGCCTGAAACTGAGTTCCCTTATATCCGGTATCCGGTTGACTAAAAGGAGTTTTCAGCCATTCGATGGTATGCTATACTGGAACGGGGAAGTGCTTCTTTTACCTACGGTCCATTTTTTTAAAACTAGGGTACATATACAGAAGTAATAGACAATATTTCACTTGTGCTACTAACCAACATCTTGACATGATTCTTAGCGAGAGTTACAGGTAGCAGCAGTAGCAAGGTTAAATGCATCCACATAAAGTATCATCATAGCCCGTATGAATAGTTGCATAATGCACGCATTCAGACACATAGCGACATTTCTAAAATAGCCCGAGTTTTCCCCACCATTTAGATCTGCATGTTTTGCATACAAACTATTTAATACATTTAGCCCTATTGGACACAGTAAAGAAAGACTACAGCAGAATTAAGTAATAGCTATTAAAATGAACCAGTGTTTTGTACATATCGCTTTTTGCACCAGTCTCGGACTGGCCCAAGAACAACCAGCAGTTCCCACGCGTGTGTTGCTACCATGTTACCTATCGAATAAACCCACAGTCGGTAACGGAAATACTGTGGAAGCACATTGTGTCCCAATGGGTTATTATAAGGCTCAATCGGGTAACTAGGCCTTGGGTACCCGAGTGACTCAAGTACATCAGGGTTGCCACAATTAAGACGGACTGCACATCCGAACGGGTTTGGATCTGTATAACAAACAAAATAACCGAACACAACAAAAAGAAAAGAAGTTTGCTTGTGCGTTAGCTCTTTTTTGGACCCTCCATCATCGCCTCTGTCGCTTTTGCCACTTACCCGCAAGTTCCCAGTAGCTAACAATGGCAATAAATACTGCGCACACAACCAGCAAGAGGTAGTTGCGGTACCACCGATCTCGAAACAGGTAACCATAATTAAAGATCAAGGCAGCGTTTACAAACTGGAAAAGTGAAACAAAGGTTAAAACGTCCGTTTCAAAACTGTCGCCTAGAAGCCACCATTTTGAGTTATCGACAGCTCGGGCATCCCATTCATTGCATCGGAAAAAGTCGTCGTGTGTATAAAGCATAACGAATGCTCCCATAAGGAAAAGTGCATTGATGACCAGTTGACCCAGGACTGACGCTAGTACTTCCGGACCAAGGATGCGTGCAGTAGGTCGTTGTGCGGAAAGCTGTTTAGCTGCTTTGGCTTGTGTCACCGCAAACGCGCAGAATAAAGTAATGAATGCATCGATGAGGATAAAGTTCCATTGCGAGAATGACATGGTGAAGTAAAAGGTGAATAGCTTTACTGTCGCCATGGTTTCTCCGTACATGATGAGATACTTGTAGCTTGCAAAAGAGGTAGCGAGCGCGGAGCGTCCTTGAATAACAAGTTCCACACAAGCCTTGACTGTGCGACTCGGTGTACTGAATGGACTGACCACTGATGCTTCTGCTTCAGACATGGCAATACCAACGTGAGCCGCCCTTAAAGCACCACAGTCATTTCCGCCGTCGCCACACATGGCCGTGATTACTTTCTCCATAAAGAGTTCGATACAAAGCATCTTATCGATAGGTGTCATGCGTGCAAATATTGTAATTGAGAATAAAAGCTCTCGTAGTCGTTCAGGATCATTTTTGAGTATTGTGCGGAAAGCATTCCCGGTGATGGCGAGCTCGAAACCATCGAATACTTCTGATTTCTCAGTTGTGTGCCGCATGTTGGTCTCTGTGTCGGTCCAGATTACTTGGCCATCCTCGTCCCTGACATCGCCAAGTAGTACAGGCCTATTGGACGGGAGCATGCCGCATGCCTGACCGATAGATACACCGGTTAACGCATTATCACCAGTGATCATAACCGTTCGAATGTCTCCTCGCTTAAGCTGCGCTATCGCATCCGTGGTATCAGGTTTAAGCATGTTTTTAAACAATACCAGTCCGAGCATGGACACATTCGATTCCAGTTGGTCTCTTGTCCAGCCACACACAGCCTCCTCGGAAATTTGCTTGCCAAGATTACGATGAGCCATGGCTAATACATAGCAACCGTCTCTTGCCAACTTGGATGCCTGTAGATCATAATTGTCCGGAACATTGGCACAGATTTCGCCGAGTCGTTCGAAAGAGCCTTTGACAAAAACGTGGATATCGCCTGTATCCATATCCACAGCAGCAACCGACATGGATGCGCGCGCATGCTGAAACTCGAATCTTTGAATGATACGGAGTTGAGAGCCTTTTACGCCTGGCGTGTGTGATCGGAGATGGATGGTTTCCTGTGCTAAATCAAGCGCCGCGCCTGTTGCTTCAAACATGACGATGTCTACTGGATTGCCTATATACTGATCATCAAGTACCGTGACAGAGTGACATGATGCTAAACCCATTCTTAGCAATTGTTCATGGTCGATATCAGGGTTCAAGTCTTGATAATGTTGTTTCATTTCGCCTAAACCCAAATTTGTTGCAGTGCTGTCATTCTTTTCCTTCTTTTCAATTTGATGGCGTACGACCGGCTGGACACCATTGTATTCGAGACCTTGGTTTGTCAGCGTTCCAGTCTTGTCAAAGCAAAATACGCGCACTTTGCCAGCCATCAAAATACGGGGTAAGTCAACAGAATAGATTCCGTTCTTTTTTAAACGACCACCAGCAACCGATTGTCCGACAACAAGAATAGCTATTTTTTTTTCATTTTAGAAACTTGACTATAAAACATATAAGTAAGGACCTTGTATTACTTTACCTGGAAGCAAAGGATTCATGACCTGGGCTGCACAGGTGGTACCGTAGAACCAAGCAGTCATACCAATCCCACCCAGCCACCATGATCCAATGCCAAGCAAGACGAGTGCCCAACAGAGCAGAACAGCAAAGACCAGTTTAAGCTGCTCGTTGAAAATAAAGGAAACAGGCTGAGGAAACAATATCTTTTGTACTAGCTGCCCCTTGTCAGTATTCGTACGTGTCGCCATAACGAGTGCCGTAGAATCAGAAGATGCTTGCTTGACCATTGTCCCAGCATACAAACGATGGATCTTTTCCTCCAAAAATGAAGCATCCCTCGCAGGAAACTTGCGGATAGGAAGGGGCTCGCCTATGATATAATGTCAGATTAACGAAAAGAGGCCCTGATTACAGTAACAATCAAACTTACCAGTGAGTGAGCTTTCATCTGTCACAACATCGCCTTTAAGTAGAACAGCATCCACTGGTACTAGTTGCTGTGATTGCACTCGAATAACGTCGCCAGGAACCAAGTCTGCGCTCGATAAGTTACAAACCCATTTGTCGTCTCGTAAAACATCGCATACACCAACATATTCAGCCATGCTCTTCACACGTTTCTCTGATCTTAGCCGAACGAACACCTTGATTATCGCAGCCAAAAGGATGACAGCGGTATCTGCCACACCGATTGGCCAATAGGCCAAGTAAAAGTAACACCACAGGATCATGAGTTGGTAAATGTAGAAGAATCCTGTAAGTCTAGATCGTAAAAGAACTTAGTAAAAGATACCCGGAGTATCATTAAACAGACTGCGAATTTACTCACTCTTCCCAAAGCGCCTGGAAGAAATTAGGAACAAGCACGTGGATAAAGTTTGGACCAAGACGTTCAAGGCGGTCGGCTGCTTGTTCTGACGTGAGACCGCCGTGATCGAATGCAATATCGGGCACTGTTTGCTCAAAAACGTCACGATCATGCTGATATACATAACGCGTACTGTGATATTCGAAATAACGGAATGTACTGCCGTGTTGAACAGGAACTGTAATTACGATTGAATCCAGACCCAGCATCTTCTTGACCTTGGTTTCGATGCGCTGTATCCGGTCCAATAAAACTCGACTTTGTCGTCCATCCGTGCCAACATCATCGAGTCGTTGAACGCTGCGTGGTTGCTCCACTTGTATATATTGTGCCTTCGTTAAAGACTGTCGGATGCGGAAAAAATTGCGTAAGCGAGAGCGCATAATGTTGATGACGAGATACCAACTGGTAGCTAAGAACCAGCAGACGCAGAAGGCTTTGCTCGACAGGTCATATGACCCATAAAACAATGCATACTGAATTCCTTTTATCTACATACAGGGTAAGGGGTTAGCATTGTGTTAAAACAAAGCACGCGATTTGATCGAGAGTCGCAGGAACTTACATAACCATAGTAATCGATACAAATGATAAGCAAAAACACCATCCAACCGATTGACACAAGCGAAGTATAAATCACCATCCATATGCCGAATATATCATTGCTATACCCCGTGAAACGCTCTCTTTCATTATTGTTGGTTGATGTCGGCGCTTTCTAATCCATGATGGAGCTTATGGTGAGAAACCATCCTAGTCCAAACTTTGATATCATACTGCATAAGAAAGCAGGTGCATATGTCTTGAGTCCTATACCTTTTCACGTGCTTTCTTATACATGATCCATATTACGAGGAATACGTAAAATGCCAAATAGATAAATATATACGAGAGAAATGTTGGAGCTAAAGAAAGTTGCAATAGAAAACGGAGGAAAATGGAACGTATAAGCGATTTGTTTGAATTTTACTTAATAGGTACTGTTGTCTTGCACCTTCTGTCGGAAAAGTCATGCTTGCAGGCGCTTTGCATACGTTCCACACCGCATCTTTTTGGCTGCTTGCAGGAAGCTCTGTCCAAGTGGGATAAGATGATTGATTTAACGCAGCTGCACATGCTCGATGGATTTGTTGTTCCGCAATGGAGGCGTCGTAATGTGGTATATCGACCGTAAGCTGTCCTGTCGAGCATGCCTGGAAGGATTGGTCTCGCTGTATTGAGGGGCATTGGCAAACGTTGGTTGTGCTCCTACATACAGACCGACACGAGCCATCAGGGCAAAGGGGGTAGGGGCATGTTTGCGAATTGATGCGTGTTGGGCAATCTCTGAGCAGGTCGGTAACGCATAACACCGGACAAGTGACATTATAACGAGTTACAGCTGGACACGTCGTGCCATTATTGTATTGATAGTTCACTGTTCAATTACACAAAGATGCGAAGCGTCGTGGTATTTATTAATGTGTTGCTCTTGCTACTCTCCTTATTGCTCTATCACAACAGGGAGGAACATAGAAAAGAGAGACATGCCTTGATGAAAGCGGGGTATTGCGAGCACGCCATCTTGAGTCAGAATAGTCGACAAGAGCAGTAGCAGCATAAGCAATGGTGACTGAAAAGTAGGAGCTTTCATGGGCTGCTGTGTTAAGAGGAGGATGGAAAGAAAGAGATAAAATATTACGTATACAGTAAAGGGTAGGATGCGAAATAAAAGAATGAAAAAGTAACAACAAAAAGATAAACCAGCTTTTTAAAACCTTCCGATGACAACAGGAAATTCTCCCGCATTCAACCTTCTTTTAACCTTCTTTGAGAGCTTCAGGATCTGCGGCCGGCATATGTCGCATATACCACCTTCGTCGTGCGACTGTCATGATAAAATACACAGCCAATATACAACACAGTACTTGCATAAATAGCGCGTTGGGTTCTGGATCCTGTTCTAGTTGTGCCTGGTGATCCGGAGGTATTAATGTTGCCTCTGATAGTGTACCATCAATAGTCGTAGTAATCATAGTATCTGCAGCAATGGTGCTGTCTGCTGCAGTAGGTGGCGATGGTGCCACAGGACGGTCAATATGCCTCCTTTTCTTAATCGTAAAAGAGAACTCCGGTAGTAAATGATAGTTGTCGTAGTCCATCTAAAAAAACAAACAGGCGGTGTTAACTTGAGATCCTCCTTTCGTTGCAGATACAGAACAAACAGAAGCAGTTGATCATTTTACCACAACCATCCCCTGAACACGGAATACATTCGACATTGAATTATATACGTCGTCTCGTGCTGAAGTCCATGATAACTCTATCGGCCACGATTTGAGCTTTGCATCGACGTGTCCAATGGACCCGGCCCAGTCAACGGATTGTTCCTCTGGAACCTCTTCTTCGCATGCGACCGGCGCATATTCGTCTTCGTTAAAGTTAATAAATTCACCCACGGTCTGGTTATCTGCGTTCTTGACTTGCAATAGAATGCCTTGATATTCTTGCCGACCGTTGACTTTGATAGTAAACGGCTCAACGTCGGTGGTTTGACTGATTTGGATGCTGTAGCAATTGTTGCAGGTCGACTTGGACGGTCCATGGCCGATCGTACCCATCAGATCGAGATTACACTAAATCTTTCAATATAAGCTTCCTTCTTGTTCCTAGATTGATGTGAAACACAATCTCGAGTGAGGGAGGGGAGACAGTACATACAGTACCAGGTGCATTAGGGTATGCATTTGCGAGACAGAGTATACTAGCAAACGTAAAGATCGATGACCATGACCGTTGCTTAGATTTCATGGTTGTCGTCGGAAAAACTAAGCAGTTGGCTGCTAGGCTGTGTGATCATCCAAAAAGAGAAAAATAGAGTGCTGTCAGTCTCAGCGCAGAAACCACCCTTTGTGCCCGCTCTTGCCGGTCTTTTGACTATTGAGGTCTATCTTGAAATATTGGATGACAATTTAGATATGACACATTAATGTACACTCAATAAGCGAAGCAAAGCTAGTATGAGATAATGGCTCTAGCATATATTGTAGTCATTCGCTGAATGTATGTATACATTTTTTTATGGTGCTTGAAACAAATGCGTAGAAAGATCATCAGGAACTGCGCTGATATTGTTCTTCGTTAGTGATGCATCCTTTATTCAATTATGTGGCAGGAATAAGTTAATGTTAGCCACATCTACTCACTGTACAGTATGCGCAACATCAACCTGAAATACCCGTGCATTCAATTTCTTGACATATCGTTTTGTGGCTTTCGGTTCAGAAAAAAAAAGGCTGTGCGAATTTTTGTTCTGGCTTGCATGTTTGTGACAATTCTCGTATAGCCTTGCTTAGGTCCGCGTAACAATGAAACGATCCATTAGGGAAGCGTAACATTAATATGCTGTTGAGCGAATCAGCCTCATTACCTCATGCATGATAAAAAGCAGGAAAATTCAAATTCGGATAATTTTGATTTCGAGCTGGTACGACGTGGCGACGTGGCGTGTTTCTCTTGCAACTATGCCACCCCAAGCAGGACAAGCTCGAAATGAGCTTTTAGACTGGTATCAATCAATACCGCCCATCACAAAGGCAATCTTCACCCTATCCATAGTCACCACAGTGGCACCCGCACTAGGCCTTGTGAGCCCATTCCAGTTAATACTTAACTGGAACGCAATCACTAAATTACAGGTACGTTTTGTTACGAACAACGGGCACGCCTTCACTTTTGCTTTTCTCGATCTAGTTCATAATGCTGACACTGTTTTATCTCGTCTTCTACTCGTTTATCCCAACAGCTATGGCGATTAATTAGCTCGTTCTTTTTGCACAAACTCGATCTGGGCTTTGCTATGAATCTCTACTTCGCATATCGCCAATCACTTCAACTGGAAAACGAGGTTTTTGCCGGTAGAACTGCAGATTATCTCTATTTTCTTCTTGTCACCTCGATTATGCAGCTGGTAACGTTATACTATACATACAGTCTGTGCTATACTTGGATTAATCTAAAAGCTTTACGTTTTGATTGTCTATGCTGGACTTAGGCTGCAGCACGTTATTTGGATCTGTATGTTTTGAGCGATGGTTTGATGATGACTCTCACCTACTTGTGGTCCCGACACTATCGCGACGTACCAATGACATTTATGTTTGGTATCAGGTTTAAAGTAAGCTTTGATATGTCATTTGGGGTTGATATAGAGCAATAAAACGTTAAAAGATGTGATGAGGAGGACTAATATTGTAAAATGGATATCTCAACCTTGACAGGCACAATATCTCCCATGGGTATTGGTTGGCTATAGCTATTTGACTCCTGGAGGCAGTGTTGTCGGTTCTCTGGTTGGCATTGCAGCTGCGCACATCTATTACTACTTAACAACCACATATCCAAGCCAAGGTGGACGTCGATATCTGTCAACGCCAGCCTTTTTACAACGCCTATTCCCGCAAACAACCGCCAGAGGAGGATTCACCGCTGGTGGTGGATTCCAGATGTGGCCTGGTAATCAACAGCAACAGCAGCAGCAGCAGCCACAACGCACCAACGTTTTCGGTGGACACTCGTGGGGACGTGGTCAGCGTTTGGGAACTTAATAAGCAAAGGGATACAGTGTATATTTGCAGGGTCGACACTAATAAAAAGAGATGAGACCTTAAATCAATTGACGAGCTTCTAAAATACCAGACGTTTGCTCAGTATCTATGCATCTATTTACTTTAAAAAGCTGTCAATGTGTATATCAGAGTCTTATATCATTAAAAAGCAAAGCTAGCTGGTCAATTTTATATAACAGTGTGAATAATATTTAGAGTTGCATCAATTATTCCTGGTCACCTTTCTACGTTTTCAACGTAAAGTATAATAGCCTTTGCAACAATAGCAATAGCAGCAGTTATTGCCTATGGGCAAGGCTGCTGAAACCTAGCAGCACAAGCCATAAATAAGCATTAATCAACAGTATATTAGCATACAGATGTTCATATATTCAAACAGGTGAAAGGTATGGAGGTAGTAACGATCCTGGAAAGAACATGTCGAGCACAATCTGGGGTAAAGGAGTGTATTGAACGTGCCATTCAACTCACCCGGGCGGCTGAGATTGGATTACGTCACATGCGAAGGCAGAGTCCAAAGAACAGCGGGGGCTCTAACGAGCAATTTTTTTGAGTCAACAAACTTCCCTCTTTCTTGTCCAGCCAAGCTCCAAACCCAACTCGGCTGCTGCTTTTTCTGTCTTCTTTGCTTGTTGGACATACCCCCTACTCCTCCCTACTCTTTACCTCATGTTCTCTCGGATTGCGCCCGCAACGAAGCGCTCTGCTCAACAGGCCTTCAAGCCCGCTGTTCAGGTAATTTCGGATACGCAATTCAACAACAATAACGCCACGCGATGTTCGCCCTTTAACACGCGCAAATGTATATATCCTCGCAACAAACTTCCATCGACTGACGTTGTATAATTTGTATTCAATTAGGCTCGTTTCGCGTCGACCAAGCCTGCTGCTGCTCAAGTAGGTTGATTTTCTTGTGGCTGTTGTTATCGCTGTTGCTGTTGGATCGTTGTATACTGCTTTGACAATCCCTCGAATCAAAAAAAATAGTGACAAACTGACATGATTATCATTTCTAGCATCCTAAGCAAGTCGCTGCTGTTACTGCTGGTATCGTCGGTGCCACTGGTTTGGCCTACATGTACGCCGACAGTGGTATCTCTGCCAACATGGCCGACGAAGGTCTTCACCCTCCTTCGCACCCTTGGCCCCACAGCGGCCCATTGAGCACCTACGATCACGCTTCGTACGTAAAAAAACATTGAAACGAAAAATGACGATAATGTGGATGGTTGAACGACGGGAAAAAAAGACTGATGATTTTTATTTCGGCAGTATTCGTCGTGGTTACCAGGTCTACAGAGAAGTCTGCTCTGCTTGTCATTCGCTCGACCGCATTGCTTGGAGAAACTTGATCGGCGTTTCTCACTCTGAGACCGAGGTTAAGGCCATGGCTGAGGAAGTCGAATATGAGGACGGTCCTGATGATAACGGTGATATGTTTATGAGACCCGGCAAGGTAAGGAAAAAAAGAGAGAACTGGAAGAGATGTATATCTGCACTAGGTTCTGATAGCCATGGATGGTGATTTTCAATAGCCCTCCGATTACATGCCCAGACCCTACGCCAACGAGGAAGCTGCCCGTGCTGGTAACGCCGGTGCTTTGCCCCCAGATCTTTCTTTGATCACCAAGGCTCGTCACGGTGGTGAAGACTACGTCTTCGCCCTTCTGACCGGTTACATGGACCCACCTGGAGGTGTCGAGGTCCGTGAAGGTTTGAACTACAACCCCTACTTCCCCGGTGGTGCCATTGCCATGGCCCGTGTTCTTTTTGATGAACTCGTCGAGTACGAAGATGGTACCCCTGCCACTACCTCCCAGATGGCTAAGGATGTCTGCACTTTCTTGGCCTGGGCTGCTGAACCTGAGCACGACGATCGTAAGAAGATGGGTATGAAGGCTACCGTCATTTTGTCAGGTTTGACTCTGTTGTCCATCTGGCTTAAGCGCTTCAAGTGGGCTCCTATTAAGTCTAGAAAGATCGTGTACAAGTAGGTTTTATCTCTCGATTTATGGTTCTTTTAAAGATTATTTAGGGACATTTATGACTAACATTGTTTTTCTTTTCCAATACTATCTGTAGCCCTCTCAAATAAAAACATTCATCTATCATTTCAATTGTACACAAAGCGAAGATACTTGGCATTGAAAGGTTTTCTGTTTTCGCTTATCTCCATGTACTTTTTTTCCCGAAAAGATTTTTAAAAATAAGGACATAATTACGTTATTAGAGAAACATCATCCAAACCATCCATCTTCTGTTTCCTTTTCGTTGTTTGCGATGTTGTACTCGGTATTGCGGAGTGCATATGCATGTTGTGTGTGCGAGAGAGGGATAGAATCGAAAGAAAAAGGGAATGGTCCAGCAAGGAACCATTCGCTGCGCTTAAGTCAATGCAGCATTAACCTAATGCATAGCAACAATGCATAGCCACCTAAAACGTCGATGACAACATCATCAAAAGGGCGAGCATGTGTAACGGGAACCCAGCACTTCCTTTCTTGTCGATCACCAAAGCATTGCGCTGCTTCTTCGCCTCCGTTTTTCGACCGAACCCAATGTCTCAACCGTCTAAAGAATGGGTTCAACAGCGCCTAGCTGTACTCAGAAAGCAAGCCGGTTTTGCTTTCAATAATGATTTGTTTATATCAATTCTGCTTTGTCTCATTTCTGGACGTGACAAGCACCTTATTCTTACAGCTGCCCCGCATCGCTTGCCCGAAGTTGCTCAAATGGCTACCCTGGTATTGTGGCATTGTTAGATCAGATCAACTGTAAAACTGCCATGCTGACTCACAACGAGTAATGCCTCGCTAGATATGCCGCAGTCTATTTGGATTCTCCACTTCCAATGTCGTCTGTCAACAAAGTCAAAGCCCAACCGATCTTATTCAATCGCTTTTTGCAGCTACCAGGGACGACTACACTGAACCAACAGAGCACCGAAACAGTTCGCACAAATTATTCGGAGACTCGCTGCACCCATCCGACAGCGGAAGCCGACATAGACCAACCCAGTCCATGCAAACATTAGATTCACGGCCTTCGCTTATGTCCTATCCTAGTATTAAAACCATGAACAACCGTAGTCATGTAAGCGCTCATTGTTTTGCTTGTCTTTTTTGGCCACAGTCGCTCAGTTTTGCCGTATTCATCGCTTAGTATGACGAGGATAATCGAACTGCCCATCCAGTGAGTCCTATTGATTTCAATGTACCAACGAGAAGACGATCTCCTCCGCAAAATATACGTTATACCCACTTGTCCGCTGATCGACGGGATACTATTAGTGCAAGCAGCAGTACCAGGAAGGAATCTGAGTACACTCTAGGAGTGGATTCAATACAAAGGACATCTTCTGGTGGCAAATTGGCGCAGTCTGTTATAATACAAAGGCTTGATGATACAAATGAGCATGTTCAAGCTACTTTGCTGGAGGTATATTGCTAGTTTTTCAAACAGAGGCTGCTTAAATGCTAAGAATAACATGATCTAAAGCTTATAGTTGCAAAAGAACTCAAGATATCCAATGCCCGTTACACTGTACCAAAGCCATACTTTATAGTTATTGTAGTTTTACCTCAAAACTACAAACGCACCAATACGTCGTCTCAACTGGTAAAGTGATTCTGGGCTGCTTTTTTTATGCAAGGAAGTTAACTCAGAGATATGGTGCATTTAGCTGGATAGGTTTTTTGTGAGCTACAATTTCGACGAAGATGCATTTGGATCATTCGGTTCCCCTCGAGGACCCGTTCGGCGGACAGCGCTTATGAAAAATGAGGCATGTGTTGATACTGAAACAAAATCATGGGGAATGACTTACATTTGTCTTGTTTATAGGAAATTAAGGCTTTGGCGGCCCAAGTGTCGCACGTTCATATCAATATCGATATCACACGTTACATACGCGATATAGTGGTCGGGATCCGGACACATCCGCTTGTGCAAGGCGGGCTTACCGCCAGATCATCACAGGAGTTTGTCATAGTGACCAAGTAAGCAACACTGCTCATCTCGCTATCTTCATTTCTCGTTTTTACACACACACACTCTTTCTTCAACGAACGCAATGAATATGTCACTGATCGCTACAAATTTAGAGCACTAGCCGCGTTATTCCAAAGGAATTATTTGACACCAGATTTGGTTACAATCGCTGCTGATAAGGTGCTGGGACATCGTATTCGGGTTCTACTTAAGGGGAATGAATCACAGCCGCAGACTGTTACAGAAGTTGTAGCCGACGTGCTTCGGATTGTATACGTTCCTGTCTAATTTACGATATATTCTTCTGTATACCACAGATCTGTTTATACCCACACTTAGTTTCATAATAAAACGTTGCATAATATGACAAGTTTCAGTTAGTTTTTTTTTGGAAGAAAGTAGCTACAAATGACTTGGGATTGGGGCTTAGAATTTTTTGAAGAAATCGGTAAATCTGGTTGTGGTTATCTTCGGACCAAAGAAATTCAAGCCTTGATATAATCTGCTGATAAGGTCTATGAAGCAGTTGTTTATACTGAAGTCACCTAAAATATAGAAGTGATAGGGATCAAGAAAGAAAAAGTCTTCAATGCTTCTAATAACGAAACAATAGATACAAAAGAGAGATATAAACAAAAAGAAAAAGCAAACAATGATCAACATCCGAGAGAACATGACTGCAGACCTTCGTTATTGTTTTCGTTGTGCATTTTATATGATAAGCAATGATTCGTGCTTTGTGATTCTTCCATATCGCGGTGATGGTAAAATGCTTAGTTTAAAGTAGTAGAGCTACTAAGAATTGGGCAAAGCAGTTAGCATTGAGCTAATATACACTGGTGTTAATGTCTTTGCGATACAAAAACGATGTATTGCTTCAGAAGTTGAGTACTAGTACTACATATGAGAGCATGGAAACTTTCAGAAAAAATGTTTTACACGCTGCCATTTTTCCAGATGAGATACGTAGGCCATATGTTAAAGTTTCTCGTATAATCAATTGCTTGCTATATTACCGCATTATTTTCGCGATTGCTACAATTTCAATATTATGCTGAAGGAGCCAAACGAAAAAGATGATTGAATAAAACCAAATGCTGGCAAAGGTTTGCGACGAATAACGAGATAAATCATTCCCTGTTTCGTTACTCGCCGTTCTCGATCGCTCTAACATCGGTAAAAGAGTGTATCTAATCACCATCAAGGAAATATGACAAGCAATAGCAACTATGATGTGGAAGCATCAACATAGTACTCTTTATGAGTAAATGTCTAAGAAATGCTTAAGTTTCTGGTTAACAGTAGATATCGAAGTTAACGACAATGAATTTATCTTCATTTTATATTAGTTATGTTTATGATAAGACGATATAATCAAGTACCAGTATTATATTCATTAGTGTTGAATACGTAGCTCTCTTTGTTGAGCATAACTCCTCAAACATTGCACTCAAAAGGTTGGTGATCGAGTATGATTGCTGTCTAAAATATTGGCTTGAAGCACGGTCTTAGCTTCTATCATACAGCTGCAGTAAAGACGGGCCCTCAGCTCATCATTGTCCGGTTTCTTTAGGGACTTGGGGAAGGGATAACACCAGGGCTTGTTTACCACACATTGGTGTGTTACACAAAACGCGAGCCATTCCTGCTGTTTTTTCCACAGGCTCGATATTCATAGCTGGAGTAAGTAAAATAGCCTGGGTTATCTATATTATTTAACTCATGAACAGTCGAGAATACTGTAGTTATTGCGAGTTAGGCATTAGACGGAAGCATTGCACAGTCCAGAATTATACAGATCTTTCAAAAGGTACATACAGAGCAAATCCTAGCAAATGCGAAAATGTTCATATTTGCTATTGTTCACATGGACGGGGTACAGGGAATAGTTGGACGACAGTGAATATTCATCATGGAGGCTTTACCCGCGGCTCTGCTGCGCATCGCATTTTGCGGGCTGCCACCGAATGACCCCGGCCGAGAAGACACGCTGCAAGTCTCATCTTACATCAGGTAAAAGCCTAAATTAAATATTATCTACTTGATTTCTCGTAGTTTTGGATACCCATGAGCGAGAGCTGGTTCTAGAGTATAGGCATGGGAAAACGGATATAATATGATACAGAAATTACACTTTCATGGAAACAGTGTTTTGACGTGTTTCGTAGCTGGAAGACACACTTGTTACTGTGGTGGCATCTTGCTTGCTGACATTAGCCAGATGCGTGAAATATTTATGTCCACAATCATACGTGGTTTTGAATTCGGTAGTTTTTTGACACAAGCATTCACTACACCAACATACACAGCACTTATGTAGCCTTTGCCTCCCTTCGCTCTAACAGAATGAATTAATACATAATATACGTGTTGTTGGCGAAATCAAAACCATTAATGTCTCTCTTGTGATCTTCATTGGCTCAGACTATTTTCATATCCCACAGTTGGCTATGCATTAGTGATTTCCTTGAGAGAAATATCTCCTGAGCTGACTGCACCGTATGTCGATATCCAGTATTTCGCAGTTACTGGACCAGTGATCATTGCTGGTGATGCCGCGTCCAACAGTATACAGTACCTTTTTGATTAGGATGGTATGATTGATTAACATTTCTCGTAGTCAGAGCGAGCGAGCGGTCGCTTTCGAATTTATTACGGCAATTGGCAGTACCGGAAGTCTGTTTGGTGGCCTTTTTATTGTGGTGACCATGCTCCTGCCTATATCCATGGGCATTTCATTATGTTGGGACTGGTCGAAACACATTTCGTATCATCTTTAAATTTTTAAACCTGAATCATACAGAGCCAATTTGGAGCATGAAGCACAAATGCGGCTGATGAAGAAGATATCGCGACAACATCATCCACGCCGGACGATATAAATATATGGAGTTTTATTTAAAACATAAAGCACGATGACTAAAGACTTGAAATTGTTAAACTTATACTCCAGGTGCACGTTATCTGGAATACAGCAGCTTATTGATACGTCTCGTAAACTGGGTATAATGAGTGAAAAGTCTAAATATCATGTTGGATAAAGGAACAAGTAGTATAATCCAATTTATTATAAGCAGCAGCAGACCTTTGGCGCTTGATTTCCAGAGTATGATAATTGGATCATGCAGTACAGAACTGATACCCTATCAACTAGCTCTGTAGAACTCAAAAGAAAATGAGGTATCGAACTTGCCAAAGTTTCAGCACACGGAACTTTATCAAATCAACCATGCCAAATAACTTAAAAGAACGGGTGGCGATAAGGGGTTCGACAAATGCATTCGAACTCTACCCAAGGAGAATGAATCATAGTCCGCCCGCTGCTGATTATTTCGTAGAGCGCACCTGGCTCCTTGCGATGACGACAATCTTTGCTGTAATAGTTTGCTCTCCTTACTGGGCTACGGTTGTCTGAGGAGTAGTCGCATAATATGTTGCTAATTTGCTTGCTGTTGTAGGAGTGAATGGTGCTATGACGTAGAATGCTTAATGAAGTACGTTTCTCAAACAAAAGCTGGATGTATATGTGAGTGGGTGTATGGCACACCATATACGGTAATATGACCGAATTTGCTTTTTCAAAATTAAGTCCACCAAAACGATATACATCCTTAGTACAATTACTTGCGCAGTGCTGTAGGCAGACAAGTAGGTGAATTTCAAAATTAGCTCACAGTTGGATGCAGCAATTAAAGACCATTAGTACTGCTCTATCCCATTTCCGGGGCGAGCGGAATAAGTGGAGCAACACATCGCGATTAGTACAGTTCAAAAACGAGAAAAAGAACGGAATTTGATCTGATGGTATCACAGAAGTTTATTCAGATTCTAATTTAATCACCAGATGCCAGGTAACAATCTCTTGCGGTTTTTCAGCTCGGCCTTCTCGTCGTCAGACAAGCGAGTCTTGTACCATTCGTAGGTGCTGTTGGAGCGGATCGTCAGATAAACAAATGGGAAGCTGTTGACCATTAAAGAAGCTGTGTTTTGACTGAGAAGAATGATGCCAAGGAAGCTAAGCTGCTCGGTTGCGTAGTGAGGTGTAACACAGTAATCGAACAATCCTCCGCGGGGAAGGAAGTACTGCTTCTTCTTTTCGCCCTTCTCCTGCGATTCGTTAATTTTAGATGTTTCCTTGGAAGTCTTGGTGCGAAGGCGGCGGAGAAGAATGTGGTGGTAACCGTTCAGCAATTCGCCAATGATGAAGCAGGCCATACCTGCGACATAAAAGTTGCGGGTGAAGGCACTGGAGGGTAAGCGTCGGACAACAGCAAGGTTGAGTGCAGCAGATGTGGCATAGGATGCGGCGATAGTAAGTGACGTCTTGACATCGGTAGAGCCGCTATAGATATGGACAAATGCGACTTCCAGGACGCGCTTCATGAAGTGCACAAAGGTAACGGCATTCACGATCTGGAACCGGGCTTCGTCGCTGGCGTTCCGGTTCAAAATGGCTACAATGACACTTGGGACATAGATCACAAACATGCCAAGCTTGCTAGGAAGCTGACTGACGCCGGCGATGCTTCCAAACTTTGAGTAGGCCATGGGACTCGATTTTTCGGTGAGCAAGGAGGTAGCACCCATAAGAACGCCGTAAAGCGTTGCACCTCCGGTGAAATAGTTCCAGTCAGGAACGTACAAGCCAGGCCAGATAGAGAAACCCATGTTAAATATTATTCGGATTTGTATATAGAGAGATTAAGGTAACTGGATTAAATAAATGAGAGAAAAGGAAAGTAAAGGGGACAAAGAAACGTCGAGATGCACGAAAAAAAACTATCGTGTTGAGGTGACACTTATATTATTGTCGGGGATGTCATTTTTGTGTGACCTCCGCTTTGTATCAGCAGAATTCCAGGCATCCATGTACAGTAGTGGGTTGCCAGGGAGCTTCTTTAATTCTGCGACAGTGTACGTAAGCCGCGGCATGTATCGTACATGCAAGTGCATGTATCATCTATTTTCATTCTTCAAACGTCCTGTACAGCTTCTCTAAATATATACATTCACAAGTTGAAGATTCTTTAACTAGATATTACAATCCACTCGTGTAAATACTCGGGCGCGAGCGATGGTATGATCGAGTTTTTGTATTAAACCATGTGCGTGTGTCCGACGATCACATCACACTCGAAAAACACGAGCTACCGGAGTTCTTCTTGCCAACCCTAGTTAGACCATACCCGCCACTTCCATCTTCATAGCAAGAGTATTGCTGACAAAGCAAAACTGTCACCATTAAAAACGAGGCAAATTAAGTTGCTTTAACGCGGACCCTAGAGTAGATCCTTTAAGTAACTTTAAGTAACAAAACGACAGATGGATACAACATAGTTTCACATCATCTTATTTTTCTGCAGTTACAATGAGGGAAGCATCCTTAGCATGTAATTTAACTACTAACGCGTCACTTATATTAGGCGTACTATATGATATTACCATTCCCCGTTAATATTCTCCATAAGATGGGTTATGACCTTGTACAATGCACTATGTACAGCCTCTTACTACTCAGAGAATGACATCTCACGCTATGCGGACATACGAAACAGAAATAACTCCCCAAAACAGCCAAAGCTTTGTTGTCGCGGCAACTCCTCGTAATTTACCATCCCATATGAAATGGCTAAATATGGCATGTCGTTGATACCAGCATCCATTGACGGCGTATTGCTCACGTTTGAAGAGAGAAGAGCAGATAATGCCCGCATAACAGATTCGACAAGTGTGAGGTGCCAGTACAATGGGGATCTCTACAACATTCTAGTACGTACAGCAGGATGTGACATTTCCAACAGGTCCTTTTATTAAAAATGCAAAGTGACAAGGGAAGCTGTATTTTCTCTCCCCCGTTATTCTGCGTTATTCTATTGAGCAATCCTCGATTGGTTTTACTTGTCGTGTTTGTTTCGCATGAAAACAGCGCAGCATGTACACAGCTGCCATCGTTCGGACAGGGCAGTAGTGCCAGCCGTGGACCTCCTTTTATTTCGCAGTTGGTAGGTAGTAGACCAACATAATATCGTGGTAATTATATATTCGTGTATAGTTGCTCCTAGCTGCTCCAATCAGTGAGGCGAAGGAGTGTCTGCTGACAACAACTCCAACATAGCTCATGTCTGGAATGACTCATGACAACGAAATGGCAACATCATGGAGATAAGAGAAAAAGAAGAAGCGATTACTGAGTAGAATTGCTCTTGTTAAAATCTCGCAAGGCAGCAAAAGAACAAGAAAGTGAAGGCCGAAGCTTGTGAATTGCCTGGTAACAGTTTATTGTGGTCTGTGCGGATATACCCTATGTTATGCTGATAGTACGGGGCTCCTTGATAATACCATTTTCTCAATGCAGGCTGCATTATCAGCCTGAAAAAGTGGATTAGTCCAAATAAGGATGGGGCAAACAATCATCCCGACGAAGGCGAAGAGAGAACCACCACCTGAAATGCTGTTGTCGGGGACACGTAACAGTAGCGCGCTCGTCTCTCTCTTCTCTTTTTTCACCTCTTCTTTTCTTTTTTCCCTCATTCACCTGAATGCCCACTTTTTCATTTCTGACTACCACTGCAGCAGCAGCAGTAGCTCTGCTGGCATGCGTTGGCAGCACTGTTTCTGCTGAGCCAAACTTTGTCAAACAAAGCGTCGAAGGTTTGACTACTTCTTGGCACAACGTCCATGATATCGTCGAGGATGGTGTCAAGGACTGGCTCCCAAAACTCCCGTTGCCGATTTCCGGAGAGCAGGACGGTTTCAAGGCCTTCTCGCACCCAGCTTTCCCTGAATATGCTATGCGCTATAAACAACCCGCTCTCTGCGACCCCAACGTCAAGCAGGTACGATGCGTTGTAGCGGTTTAATCTATGCATACGTTTATTCATGTCATGGAGACGAAAAAAAAAAGCCCGCAGGAAGCGGATGATTCTCACGGCAATGATACTAATTACGGCCCCTACATCTTTTTGATGATTACACCTATTAGATCACCGGCTATCTCGACGTTCAGCAGGATAAGCACTTTTTCTTCTGGTTCTTCGAGTCACGAAACAAGCCTGAAACAGATCCGCTTGTCTTGTGGCTGAATGGCGGTCCAGGCTGCTCATCTTTGACCGGTTTGTTTATGGAGTTGGGACCATGCGTTGTTAACGAAGCAGGTGACGACACAACCATCAACGAATTCTCCTGGAACAACAATGCAAGCGTCATCTTTCTGGATCAGGTAATTTGTTTTGCATTCAAAGTCGGGCCTACCTTGAAACTTGGGAAACAACTTTTCCATCTGACCCTTATCTTTCCATTTATTGCACACGCGCTATCGCGCTCTTTGACGATGTCACTGATGCATGCGTGTTTACATACAGCCTCTTAACGTTGGCTATTCATACGGTAGCGGTGGTGCGTCCGACACAGTTGCTGCTGCAAAGGATGTCTACGCTTTCCTGCAACTGTTCTTCAAAGAATTCTCAGAGTACTCGGCGTTGGATTTCCATATCGCTGGCGAGTCATGTGAGTTGCTAGGAAACCGGACGCTAAAACACTTGAAAAAAAAATCCCCGCACGGGTCGGTCAATCTCAAACAGGTTTTTATTTCCTTTTTCAATGATAGATGCTGGCCACTACATTCCTGCAATCGGCGGTGAATTGAATCGTAACAACAAGGGCAAGTTCGCTGCTGCTGGCCTCGAAGCATACGCATCGACCCTCTCCACTATCAACCTGAAAAGTCTGTTGATCGGTAATGGCTTGACTGACCCGCTTATCCAGTACAAATACTATTCCAAAATGGCCTGCGATAACTCGTACGGCAGTGTTCTTCCCCAATCAACTTGTGATGCGATGGATCGCCAGTACCCTGCATGCGCTACTTTAATCAAAAACTGCTATGACACTCAGAGCGTATGGCAGTGCCTTCCTGCTGCTATGAAGTGCAACAAGGACCAGATCCAGCCTTATCAGCAAACCGGTATGAACCCCTATGACGTGCGTGAGAAGTGCAAAGGCGGCAACTTGTGCTATGAGATTCTCGGAAGTGTTCAAAAGTACTTGAACCGCGACGACGTCAAAAAGGCCGTGGGTGCTGGTGTGTCCGAATATGAAAGTTGCAACATGCAGATTAACTTCCGATTTAACGTAAGTTGCATTTAGATTGCATCGAACACTGAGAAAAGTATATATCGCGACAAAGTATTCACTTGAGATACATGTAGATGGCTGGTGACTGGATGCGCCCCTATGTCGAAGAAATCCCTCCTATGCTCGAAGATGGCGTTCGCATCTTGATCTACGCTGGTGACGCCGACTTTATCTGCAACTGGATGGGCAATAAAGCATGGACCGTCGAGTTGCCATGGAGTGGTGGTAAGGAGTTTGCTGCTGCCGAAGACACCAAATGGATCTCCAAGATTACTGGCAAGGAGGCAGGTGAGCTCCGCAAGACTGAAGACGACCGGTTCGCGTTCTTGCGAGTGTACGGTGCTGGACACATGGTTCCCTACGATCAGCCCGAATCCGCTCTCGATATGTTGAATGACTGGCTTGCTGGAAATCTCGAGTAGATAATCAAATAAGCTCAAATAAACTTGCCAAACGTTTCATATGGTAAACCGCCGCTACTGCTGTTACCGATAGTATGCATATTTCGCTATTGCATATGCAGTTTTGACCGAGGCTACAAATTTCGGACATTTTACGGCACAAAGCCAATGCAACATGGCGTTCTCGACCGAATTTATTTCTACACAAACTTTGATCGTAGAAAAGCCAGAAGCTGAGCGATCCACGTTCGAGATATTTGTCAAGGGGATGTTCGGAAATTATGGGCTTGGTGCTGCGCTCGACTATCTCTTACCATGCATTTTGCACACTTTTCAAGCTTTAATTATGTCAGACAAAAACTAATAGCAAAAGCGTAGCTAATTTCTTCAAATGGCGTGCGTGACATCGTTATATTCAGTGTATCATTCTACTGACCGTCAACTTCAATGTTCCACAGTTCGAGCGGATCACCACTATTCAATACCTTGAATACCTGGCTATGTGTACAGATCATGAAGAAGGCGTTGGAAAATTATAATAAGCTGGTTGCATAATTTGTCTTATTATTTCATACATGATATGGCATGGATATCCCCAGTCGATCTGTCTACCTGACCAAATTTGGGCTTGGGTAACATGAATGAGGTTGGTCAAAATAATTTTTCCACAAATGTAGACAGTGTATTAGTGATGATTTCAAATGTTTCAAAACAGTCATAGAAAATAGATTTAATACTTACTCCAGAGTCCGTGGCTTCCGCGCTGAGTAAAAGCACTGTCCTCTTGGCCCCAAGATACAATCGTAGTGGAATTTTCGACTAATTCCTATCATTTTCTAATGCTAAAATATTGTTTTCCGGTTCCTCCTGTTCTTCTTGATCTTCTTGAAGTTGCGCTTGTTGAGGGAGCTGTCCACCTGGTGGTAGGAATGCCTCTGGTCGAAAGTCTGGATGTCCATCATTATTCATATAGGCTATGCCTATGCTTCTTATGTTCAATGCCGCATTTTTATCCCGGTCTACAATCTAGATGAGAAAACAAAACTCTTTTAGCATATGATTAAGCAGAATCCTTCGTGGGTTTAAAGGGTGAAAACATACCACAGCCTCTGGATAAAGCTCTGGATGGTTATTACAAGCTTTAATCTTCCACATCACCCAATCTATTATGGTACTCCATGCCAATTTAGTACAGCAGAACACAACTACTGATTATATACCTTATTAGTAGAAATTTGCCTTTACCTGGCGGTGGTGGGCGTGCCTGTATACAGTCACTTGCCGGATTCAGCAAATGGCCATCCTGGTCTCGACGGTACTTTATTTACCTTCCTCTCTTTGGAATGAAGCGGCCTTGAGGTCCTTGAACCCAGTACGTTGCACGTTCTCTTGTTTTTCTGCACGGATACATAGGTAAAAATGATCCCGTCAGTCGTTGTAAGTGGGCTTCTTAAAGCGGGAATTATGTATAGCAATCAGATATTATATTATTACGTACCTGTGTCCGCAAACCTCCTCGTCATATGGAATACTTGTTAGCCGTTGCTGACACCCTGCGTGAACTTGAGAAGTGTTGTACTCGTCCGTCAGTATCAGCAGCATGTGTGAAGCCAATTTTTTAATAAGTCCCTAAAATATACATTACTCATTAAGTGTATGGCAACCTCTTTGCGCATTCTCTCTTGTAAATATACTAACCAAATGGGGGATCGGGGCCCATCCCGGGAAATGCGGCATTCTGCTGGAGCCAAAGAACACAATCGTTGGTTGTTGATTTGGGTGCCAACGCTCGCGTTCTCGCCTCAAGCGGGCAGCTCTTTTTGCGAGATCTGTGCGACGATTTGTGTATCCATTTGATAGGCTCTCCCTATGTTTCAGTTTTTCAAAAATGATCATCAGCAAAAAAAAGAAAAAAGAGTATTATCAGATATCACGCGAGAAAAATGGAAAAAGGGAATCGCTTACAGCTGGGTGAGGAGGAGTGTCACCTAGCAGCTCATCTTTGACAAGATCTCGTTTTCTCTGCCGGCTTGAGAATAACAAGCTCCTGATTTCTCTGTGTGTGAACCCAGACGAGAAACGACGCATTCTATATTCTTGCCGTTATTATATGCCCTTGTCACCAACTCGCCTAGCATTGATTAGCCCTTCTTCTCCTTCCTTCTCCTTCCTTCTCCTTCCTGCTACTTACCGAAGTCGAATTCGATTCCGATTAGCGATATAGAAAAGAAAATCTTCTGAACGTGAGACATAGGGCGAGTTCTCTGCGATGGAGTCATAATCCTCTTGGATTTCGGCTTTCTGCCGATTTTTGTTTTCTAATTTATATTCCCAAAAGACACCCGTCTCCGCACTTTGCATTGAAAAAAGCTAAAGCCGCTTCTCTTGTTTTTGAAACAGCTACCAACAAAAAGAGGAACACCCAACAAGCAAGACCAACAAGTGAAAAGAGTTAGATTAGTCCTGTCACAAAAATCTATGAATTTCGATGAATAAAAGTCTTCTGTTATTATAGTACTGGGAGTGGGATAAAGACAAATAAGCACGTTTCAAACTTAGTGCCTGCATGTGCTTCATTGTCATTCATTTACTGAACGAGTATCTTCGATATGTCATTGTCTGCACTCAAAAAGCATTTGACATAATTTGTCAAAGCTCAGCTTTATTGGATATTAAGGTCTAATTTCATTGGCTCGCCCAGCCTCATACGTACTATTCCTGCCTTAATTTGATCATCGGTGATTAGCCTCGCGCGTCTTCCTTCTCACCAATTTACCATAGTATAAAGCAAAACTGTAGTTTCCACTTTTGATGGGTAATTCTTCCTAATACTCAATTAATACTGCTCTCCTCTCTACAAGTTTTTTCAAGCGACTTACTGTCTTTCGATTTCAAAAAACAAATCTATACAAAGAAAACTCAAGTTATACTATAGCGAATCTGACATGTCGCGTTCTACCCGGCGGTCAAGCGCGTGAATATACCTGCCATGCCAACATGTCCACAATAACCACCATGGATCTTTTGTACGGGATGCTAGCCGCTATCATTTACTGGTTTGTGGTAAACTTGATTTCTGAATATATTTTTTTAAGTACTTGTAAATGTCCTCATTATAAGTTCAACCAATCTAGCCACTACCCAAGGTTAATTGGGCTGTCTACTTTCACGTATCGGTGGTACCTGAAAATAATTACTATTACATCATGTGCGTGCTTCTATTATGGCTATGGCTGAAAACACATACTGTCAAACAAGGTATGCTGACGAAAATCAACCGGAACGAAGGCAATTCATATGATAATGTGTATCATATGAAGGAAGGTTATATGTATTAAGTGGTACAGAAAGTATTCTTGCTATCAAGGATATAGGCATTCAGGTACGGACGGTCTACTGGGGTGGCCGAAGTGTATCGAAATTCATCGATCAGCATAAAATCGATGACATTATCATCAATGAAGGCATCACCATGTGGCAGATCAAATCGTACATGGCCATTTTGATCAAGAATCAGGAGCGTATGGTGGTTGTATTTGAGGTATTTGTCTTTGGATACAATGACTGGAAATACGCTCGATAAGCGAGAACGCTCACAATGGCAAAATTTACTACTGTCGAAGCATTTGTTGCCTAGATTACGTCCTGTCTTGTTGGATGTGTATTGGGGTACGCGGGCCGTCATCTTTCCACATCAAACCCACCTTCTAAACGAAAACAGCCAGTTGAACGATTTAATCTCACGATGAAAGAAAGTGATGGAAGGAGAATTGGGAGGGGAGAAAATGATGTACTATTACAAGGGCTTGTAATGTTAATATTATCGTATAATATATATAAATGATGCACAAGTTGATTTGGGAATGGGGTAAGGAGATTGTTGATCGGTTGGATCGTTCTGCTGTTATTTTTTGCTTTTACGGATAGCCAATGGAGAGATCGTTTAGTGCTACACATACGGCTGCTTTATGATGTCCGTTGTATTGTCGGATTGTTTCACCTTGGGCAAGCTCCCATAGCCGTGATACATGGTCTGAAGAAGCTGTTTGTGTATGCTGCACAGTTAGTAGTAAGTCCAAAAGTAAACTAAACCGATCGTTGGCTATACCTGTAACCAAATAGGCAGAATCTGCTGAAAATGCACAATCCCACACCCATCGTTGATGTCCCGTCAATGTCAATATCAGTTTGAAGTCTTGCTCTGTGTTCCATATTTTAACAGTCTTGTCAGCCGAGCAAGTTGCCAATAATCTATATCAGTTTGGATTTTCTGTAAGCAAGCTGAGGTGAAAAACCAAATGGTCAAGCAGATATGCTATCCTGAACATAGGAAAAAAATAATTGCACATACTTTGTATCCGGACTTAGTACACACCGTAATATGTAATCGTTGTGGGCAGTGAACTTGGTTACTGGCACAATTTCTGGATTGTCTGATGATGTATTCGACATACGCCATACATAAACTCGTCCCTTTTATTCGTCGTTGTGTTAGAGAAAAGTGAAACACATTACCTATCACTATTTCTTCAGTTAAAGTGTCTGTTCTACCTTATTGTTTGCAGCTACCATCATTGATCCATCCGATGCGACGCTCACAGATCGCATGGGCACACCTTCTTCCGGAACCTACATCATACCATTAGTATTCGATCCTTATTTTTTTCTCTTATGCGCACCATGTCCTATGTGGAAAATCCAAACATACCAGTTCATGTGTACACGAGTGAGCTGCAAGATCCCATATCTTGACGCTACCGTTCTGGTCGCATGTGACTAGTTCACCTTGGTTTGCATGCATCACTGCATCATTGATAGGTGCTCCGTTTCCAAAATTCCTCGTTAAGACAGGCGGATTACGCCCCGAGCTTATAGCATGCCATAATAATTCAATACACAAAATAACTACTACTGGTATGAAATGATATGAACGGGTATATTATGCTTTATATTTACCGAGTGTCCCATATTTTCAAATGACCGTCTTCGCTTGCTGTAAACATCCATCGCCCTTCACCATGGAAACCCGTTGCTGTGATATTACCAGTATGATCGCCAAATACAACGAACTATCGCAAGAAACAAATTAATAAGGGTGCGATCGCGAGTATTGAAATTCCATTCTGTCCGTTCTCCATCGTCCAAACCGTTCAACTATCGAACGTCTGACAAAAAGACTTACAGGATTTTCATTAGGGCTATTGATATCATATAGACGAACAGAATGGTTTCCTGAAAGACAAGTTGAAGGTTTATTAGAGCCGCTAGTTTTTACACTGGTTTGAAAGGAATGTTCTGGCTTTCGTTTCTTTACCTGCAGCAGCAAGCACTGTTTTCTCAGGAGAAATGCATAACCGATTTACTTGCTACTTGAAGCGATAAGATTCCTAGCCTTTTCTTGCTTATATTATCACACATTAGAGTAAAAAACAGACACGTTACTGAATCAGGATGCTTAATTGTACGAGAGCAAATGCCACTAAGTGCTTCCCAGAATCGGATAGTGTTGTCATAACCAGCTGTAACCAGAATAACGGAATGGCTGTCGTTTTGTAGTGGTTGCTGTTGCTGTTGCTGTTGCTGTTGCTGCTGTTGTTGTTGCAATTGAGCATAATATTGCTGCTGCTGCTGCTGTTGTTGTTGTTGCTGGTCTTGTTGTTGTTGTTGTTGTTGTTGTTGCTTCTGTTGTGAATCGTACTGGTGCTCATCGCTGTTGTCGCCACCACCGTGCCCCATGGTAACAAAGAACGCGAGATAGTGAGAAAAAAAAGAGTATAAAAAATTGAGATAGCAATGCACCTGCACCAGTAGCCATCAAACACACTCCGCTGCATCAGCCGAATGGCCCTACACCTCGCCACGCTTGCTTGGCCACGAATTCTCGGTAAGATATCAGTGTGCTTCAATAAGGACTGATCGATAGTGGCTTTCAAATCATAGAAAGATGCTGATTATATATAGAGGTATGCAGAAAGTTTAAAAGAAATGAAAGAACATGCGGCAGCGATCTCTCTCGCACTGCATAATCATGTCATTTTGCCTTTGCAAGTACATGTTAGCACTTGATGTGGTGGATCAGCAAACAAATCGAGATGATTGATCAGGCTATATCAGCTTCTTTCACTAGTTATAGCCTCTATCTGTTTGTGCCTCATGCAATCATTTTGTTTATTCGTCCATTATTTCAATTCTAGCTAGTACCTAGCACCCGGTAAAAGAAGATGTGTTTCGTGGCAGCAGCATCTCCTCTTTCGTGTTATAACTTTGCTTGTGTTGTTGGTTGGCTTCAAAGCTGTATACTCTATACTCTACAAACGTAATTTGATTAAACAAAATGTCTCGTCTCCTGTACATACAGCACATGGTGATAAGCTCCGCCTTCTTCTGTATATGCATGTGATATGTACGTGTGTTCCTATGACATGGGTGCCATAAACGTCTTTGCCAGCATCACCAACACGTGCGGGGTTCTACCCACTGCACTAATGCGCCGCTCCTTAATGCTTTCTAACCCGAACATCTTTCTACATTTGTGCTCGATCAGTGAAAGTGGATGACATTAATGTGTGCGTATATTTGGGCTCTGGTCATTATTGTGTTGCTTGCTCCTTAGGGCAAATAATCAATGGTTGCAGGATGTGGTCAGACCATTATGACGTAAAGCCAATGGTACTTATTGCAGACACATCCTGTTTTTATAAAGTGGTCTTTTATCCTCAAATATTCATAAATACATACATAAAAGAAGAGCCCGCTGCGAGAATTAATTGTTCGAGCTGTGATGTATTTTTCTTGGAGAAGGGTGTCGTACTTTGCATGTTTTATGTTTCTTCTGCACACAATATCGGCTGAAACTCAACACCATCCGTTTGGACAGTTGGGTACGTAAATTCAGCCTATGACATGCGCCGCAACAAATGCAAATTACGCTAAACAAAAACGAACGTTCTTTCTGATTGGTCATTTAGGAAAAGCGAATAATATAATCTCGAGCAGAGTGACCGGGCCTCGAAAATCGAGCAGTCGTCTTTTTTTCTTTTTTCGCTTCCTCTTCTTCTTCTGCACAACAGACCTACTTTTCCCTGTCCAAACTAGCTTGCATCTTTACGAACAGCAGGAACTAAAGAGAACCAACAACTTACATGAATTCTACCCAATCTCCGGCTCAAACCAATACTAAACCTGCTTTGCATGGTGTCAAGATAAAGCAAAGAAAAGTAATGGATCTTGCTTGTTTTGTTGAAAGCAAAAACGCTCAAAAAAAAACTAGTAACAACTAACAAACAAAAAATTTAAATTGGTAATAACTTTGTAGGGTGTTCAAAAAGCACAAGCCAAGCACGAACCTGAAGGTATGTATACTGTTTGTGTCTACGGCTATGATGTGAGCCTGTAGATGACGGAGCTTACACCATAATACACTTGTGTGTGTTTACCAAGGGACGGTAATCTTTTGCGCAATTTGAGAGATTGACATCTGGTCCGGTTCATTGTCACACTTGTGATAAATCTAGTGTTCAGGGATCAATTATTGCAACAATTGAATACTGTCGATAAAGACAACTTTGACGAAATCACGGCCAGACTCGACGCAGCTGGAAACACTCTAGAGTACCGTAAATACGCCGATTCGCTTTTCGAAATTCTTATTACAGGCGGCATTGTCGGTAAGTAGCAGCAGACTGATTGGTGGGTGGGGAGGGGGGGGGCGCGACCTTATTCTTAGTTGCATATATGTGTATATGTCTATGTTCTGGGACAGGTGTGTCACTAGACTTGCCAGAGAAGTGACTCACGTGTGTTCATATGATTTCTTTTACATAGAACCCGGAGGAATCGTTAGTGACAATGCTGAGCGCAGTTCGTTCAGCATCTTTTCTGCACCCGAAGATGCCGAATCCATCAAGCAACATGTCAATGTCTTTAACAAGGTCATTCGACGCTACAAATATTTGCAGCGGTCGCTCGAAGATACCCTCAAGCACGTGTTGCAATTCATCAACAAGTGGCAATTTGCCGAGAACAACAAGCTTGCCATGGCAACCGGCTATATCATTACAAGTCAGCTTACGAACGTCTCCATCTTGAAGGTCTTACTGAAGGATTACCTGGTCAAGGATGGCGCTTCGCTAGAGTTTGCAACCAGTGTGTTCCGAACCATTCTTAGCGAACAGTCTATCGACCAGTTTGGCAAGATGCTCATTAACACCGGTATGGATGCCAAGCTGATTGAGTTGTTCCCTCCAAACAAGCGTGAGGAGGACTGTCTTGCTCGCCATTTCGAGGCCGAAGACATGAAACAACTCGTTGGTTTCCATCAAAAGAATCTCAAGGATTCGATCAAGGATGAGTTTATGGTGAAGCTCAAGGACATGATGTCCGAGGAGGCCAAGCCGAACGAGGTGAGTAGATTCTCCTTGCTTGCAACGATACGTTCTATTATGATTTAGAAGTGGCTGATATTTACCTATAAAACTACACAGGTGGCCACGTATGTTAAACAAATCATGAAGGAGAACGGTTTGAACGAACCTGAGGCGATTCAAATTGTTTGGATGTCTGTTCTCGGCACTATTGACCTGATCAATGCCAGACCTGATCAGGTGGAGATTCAAGCATTGCGCGCAATCAAGGTAATATAACAGACAAAAGGGAATATAACCGTGTTTGTAGTGTGACATGTATCTAACAGCGTGCTTCCCTTTGTTTGAATGGAATTGGTAACAATAGGGCTGGGCTCCCGTGCTGGAAGCTTTCACATCATCGCCCAAGACCGAGCTAGTGCTTCTCCAAAAGGTGCAAATTTCGTGTTACGAAGATGCAAAGCTGACCAAGTTTTTCCGTCAAATCGTGCAAGTTCTGTACAAGCATGACGTGTTGTCAGACAATGCCATTATCTTCTGGGCTGACAAGGCTCACAAACCCCAGGGCAAGACTGTGTTCTTGAAGCAAATGGAAGCCTTTGTCAAGTGGCTGCGTGAGAATGAGGATAGCAGCGAAGAGGAAGACGATGAGTAAAAAAAAAAGAATAAAGATGCTTGTGAACCGTGATAATTTTGAGAGTAAAATGCCCTTGCTGTATATTTCCTTTTGTCAAGAAAAGAAAGAGAGAGAGAGAGAGAGTGAAAGAAACAAGTAAAGATTTTTTTTAAAAGAAAAGGAAAAAAAAAAGAAGATTGAGAAAGAAAGTTGAAAAAAAAAAAGAGTAAAAGATGAATATTATGCTTTAGGACTAGGTGTCTTGTCAGTAACCTCGCCTTCTTCCTTTGTATCGTCGACAGCTGGCATCGGCTCATCCTTGTCTGCTGCTGCTGCTGCTGCCTCTTCTGATGCTGGTTTAGCAACGGGGGATGATGACCGTTTTGGTGATGCATTAGCAGCAGTATTATTATTAGTAGTAGCGGCAGCTGGAGCCTCTTGTTTAGATTCCTCAGCCTTGACCGGCTGTTCTTCCTGTTTCGTTTCCTCCTCTTGCTCTGCAGGTCTCGGCCGCTTGCTCTCTTGCGTTGAATCGCCATCGTATGACCGTTTCTGATTAGTGGGGCTGTTATTATCCTGATGTGATTCTGCGTGTGGTTGAGGTGACGGCTGTCGCTGAGGTGACGGCTGTTGTTCCCGCTGTTGTTCCTGAGGCGACGGTTGTCGCTGCTGTTCCCGCTGTTGTGGCGGCTGAGCAGGCTCGTGAGGAGGATGCTGAGGAGATTGGTGTTGTGGCTGCTCACGTTGTTGTTGTTGTTGTTGTTGCTGTTGCTGTTGATTATATTCGCCACTGGCATTACCACCCATACTTAACAGTGTGTTTGCTGCACTTTCATCGTAATCTTCATCCACCCGCCGAGTCGCTGGCTCTTTCTGTGCTGGTGATGCAGGGGCCGTCTCCTTTGCAGATTCTGGAGGATGCTCCTGTTCCCGCTGCTCACGGTGGGCTTCTTGCTGCGGTGGTTGAGACGCCTGTGATGGCGCCTGTTCTTGCCCTTTGTGCTCGTCGTGCGTGCGTGACGGCTCACTGCCAGGCGCAGGAGCCATAGGAACATCACGAGATGATTCGTGTGGAGCAGGTAGAGCAGGCGAATGATGCTGATGTTGCTGCTGAGGTGATGGGACTGCTGGAGCCTGTTGCTGATGGTGGTGATGGTGCTGTTGCTGTTGCTGGTGGTGGTGGTGGTGGTGCTGCTGCTGCTGATATGGGTGCTGGTCGTGCTGTTGTTGCCGTTGCTGATGTTCATGATGAGGTGAATGCAGCTGTGGTGGAGGCGGAGGTGGCAGCACATGTCGTTGTTCCTCGTTATCCGAGCCCTTCTCAGCAGCAGGATGTGTAGGTGTATGCGGGGCAGGAGGGCGGTAGAGCCGCGGCGATTCATTGATTTCCTGCTTAACAGGCGGCGTGGTGTGATGCTGCACTGGCGAATGATGGTGCTGCTGCTGCTGCTGCTGCTGCTGCTGCTGCTCAACAGGATAATCTCTGCGAGTATAAGGAGAATGGCTAGTGGGTCGAGGAACATGACGATTAGTGTCTTCGCGACCCATAGGCGATCGGGCCATTGGTGGCGGAGGGCCATGTTGCTGTTGCTGCTGAGGATGATGGTGTTCTTCGCGATGAGATACGTGTGGCGAGGCATGCACATTGCGAGGAGAAGCAGAGGGTGGTGCTTCTGGGTGATGATGCGGCGATTGCCATAAGCCACGAGGCTGGAGCGATGATGAGGAAGAGGGTGTACGTCCATTGCTGTCGGCGTGCTCATGCTTCATATAAGGCGAGTGGCGCACAGAGGCATGATCAGCTTGAGGGCTTGGCTGGTAAGGAGCGGCCGAAGCTGACGGTGGATGTGGAGGTGGCGTTTGACGCGCGCCAGACCGAGTATCGTCGGGAATAATGGGGTTCATTTGCGAACGATCAGAAGGCGTAGGTGCTTGTCCACCGCCAATGCCTGGTATGCGAACATCTTCGCGCGAAGGTGGCTGAGATGCCGAAGGTTGGTATTGCGAGTGGATGCCAGAGGAACGACGATCAGGAGGTTGACCACCCAAGGCAGGAAGATCACGTCCTTGTGCGCTGCCGTTCTCATGTCCACCCAAGTTGTTTGCAGGCAACAACGGTGTGGATGCACGCTCGTCACCGGAACGAGCTCCGCTGCCACTGACGGTCGTACTATATGCAGACATGCTAGACAAGGATGGTCCGGGAGCCGACTGGTGTTGTACAACTTTCGATCAATACCACTCTATCTTTATCTCTTTGCTTTCCATCCTCCTTCCCTCGTGTTTTTTTTTTACCTGACTGTATGGTGCGCCATTCAAAGGCTGAGCGCCTGGACCATTCTGATACTGATTCGGATTGCTCACATCTCGAGGGGCAGGTGCGCTTCCGGCACTATCCAGCACATGAAAAATCGATTAGCCATACTCATTAATAGAAGAAAACAACAAGGAGAGGAAAAAAAAACAACACTTACACTTGGGATGATTGGACCGATTGGGATTTACGCAACAATTCCAGACGCTGCTTGATATGAGGGTTTGACGGATCCAATTCCGCGGCGCGCTGATATGCATCCAGTGCATCTTGTACCTGATTGTTGCATGACTCGTACAAGGTACCAAGATCGTACCACACTTCGCTGATGTACGGATTGAGTCGAATAGCTCGACTGTAAGCATCCAAAGCGTCACGATACTACATCATGACAACAGTGTTTGCCAATTTCTGAAAGTTAGTGACTTATGTTGTCAACTCACACCAACCCAAGTAACTCTTATATCATTCCTTCGACGCAACACAAAGCCGATCCTTTTTACCTGATTGATTTGATAGTAAAGAACACCAATAGAGCACCAAAATGTAGGATTGCGCGCGTCCCGATACACAGCTTGCTGATACGCTTCATAGGCCTTGTTGTAGTTCTGTTCTGCCATGTAGCATCGTCCCAACAAATACCACGATTGCGCGTCATTGCTATCCGATTTCAGCGAGCGAGTCAAATACTGAATGGCCAGAGTCTGATTGCAGAACGAGGTATTTTGCTGGTGATAAAGCCAGCCCAATTGTTGCAACACCTTGGCGTGATCCGGATTTTCGGCCAATACGCGTTCGTACGCTTCCTTTGCCAGCTCGTACTGTTACCATCATCATGGATATTAGTGATTTTTCAGAGAATATACTGACTCCTTCCGTTTGAATTTCGACCCTTCCTTTCTGCCCCGCCCTCCCCTTTCATTCCATATTTGTTTGTTTCTCCCTCTTTAGGAATTTGCCTAGTCCCATCCGTCCCGTCTTTTTTCCCTCTTACCTCCTTTTGTTGCTCGTAAACGTGTCCAGTTTGAAACCAGATATCGGATTCGGTCAATGGTCGTGGCGGTGTATGAAGAATGTATCGGAAGCACTTGAAGTAACAAACGAAATTAGTAAAACCCTTGAATACAGTTGACATGTATGGACAAAGGACTAAAAACATGTAAGAGAAGGGAAATGTTTGCTAGGGTACCTGAAGCGAGAGATCAAACTTTTGCTGCTGTTTGTATATGATACCCAGTCGAAAGTAAATCTCGTTTGCCTTTTCGAATTTAGGATCCATTTTCATAACAGCTGAAAAGGCCTCTTCGGCATGTTCGAGTGAACCGTAACGATCATAGAGTATACCGATGCCGTACCAGAGTTTCGGATCCTGAAAAAAGAAGTGGTTAGCGTTCATGCTAGCTAATGATAGCTATTGCCAGCAGCTAGTGCTAGTTTATTTTGTATACGTGTGTGATCTGCGCCCATTGTACGCCCCCCCGCACCCCCAGCCGCTCCAGATAACACAAGCACATATAGACGGAGAAAACCGTACCTTTGGATTTGAAAGATGATACAATGCTTGCTGATATGCATGGTAAGCATCCTGCAGGTTATCCATCATGAGATAGCAGTGACCCAATGCTGCCCATGTTTCACCGTTGCTCTCTTGAATTCCCAAAATCCGTTTAAAGTATTCAACAGCCTTATAAAGTCATATAAACATAGGTGAGCATAGGTATCATTCTTTTCCTTTTTTTTTCGAGCATGTATTCCTGTGTGATACTGTTTTCTTTCTTACCCTTCCAAACTGTTCGCGACCACGACATAACGACGCGATCTGAGTCAATGCAGGTACAGAGTACGGATTGTGTCGCAAAGCCGATTCATAATAGCTTGTTGCCTTGTCGTAATCTGTCATCATTTCCGCAAGATTACCTGTTTTTCAATTATAATAAAAGGACAATATTTAATCAAAATTAAAAAGAATTTTAAAAGTAATGGTTTGTTTTGTAAGAAATGATTTTCTTTTTTTACCCAGTGACAACCATGTTTGTTCATTAACAGCGGCAAGCTTTTGAGCAGCAGTTTGTTGCTGTGGAGGCGGCGCTTGTTGCGATTGCTGTTGCTGTTGCTGTTGCTGCTGCTGTTGTTGTTGTTGTTGTTGTTGTTGTGATGGCGGCTGCACGGATGGCGGTTGGTGCTGCTGCTGTGGAGTCGTTGCAGCCATGGTCTGTTCATTAATGCATAGGCTTAGTATCTCCACATCCTCACGGACGAACAAGTTGTCAGAGCAGTTAAAGAGAAGAGAAAAAGAGCCAATGCGAGACAGATACCACAAACACTGGTGTTTCGCTTTCTGTCTTTTTACACTTGGTCTTTTCTTCCTTTCTACACTCTTGTTTTATTACCTGTCAAGGGGAGGGAGACTGGAATGCGAAAAGGGGTGTGCCTATAATGCCGTGTGTTGTTTGGATTCAAAGAAAAAAAAAAGAGAGCAAAAGAACAAGGGATCTTTTTTGAGGAGAGAAAATCCAAAAAAGCGCGGGGCAAGAAATGAGATGGAGTGGAAAATAAACGAGCAAACGCTTTGCGTTCAGACGGAACAACCAGCAGTGGACTACTAACCCACCGCCCGATCTCTCAGTTCCCAGCAAACACTGCTTTCAAAAAAAATTTACACGGGGTAGCATGGCGAGCCACCACGACGTTTTTGCGCACTTTGAATCAATCATCATCGTCGTCGTCATTTGCTTTTTTTTCGCAGACCCGAAAGGACTGACGATCACCCAAAAATAATTAGAGTTCTGAGGTGGAAAAATAGCAGACCTCCGTTATTGATCATCAATCGATAGGGCGGTAACAACAGGTAGGAGGGAAAAGGCTCAAGATGGCCACTACAGATTGTGTGGGGTAAAAGAAAAAGGAATGGGCCTTATATCATATACAGTAGGCTACTAGAGTGGGCCGATGAACAAGCAGTGTGCCTTGACGTGCAAGCGGATCCAGGCCCTGCTGATGTTTTTAGGGCGACGCTGATATCAAATGGCACGTCTAGGCTGGTTAGCCACCAGGTCATCTGATATTTCGCACATGTATTGTGATGGGTTTCTAATAAGCGTGTGTCTTATCTAATGGATGGCTGCAGGGGTGCCGCATGAGCAAAGCTCATTCTCTTCACTTGTCAATCCAGCAAAGGGCCTTTCATGTCAATCTGCACAAGCAACACATCACAAGTGCAAAGAAGGAAAGAAGGCGGGGCTTGTTCTCTCTGGCTGCTGAAGCAACGAGGAAGCAAGAGAGAGAGAGAGAGAGAGAGAGAGAGAAGAGGGGGTAGGTCTCTTTGACCTCTCTTATGTTTGCGGAAGGAGGAATCGATGGATAGCCCAGATTGGGTGGGTTGTTGTTGATAAGCTACCTCCAGCGTCAATGTCCGAAAGCTGATATCAGTGAATAAGAAACGATAACTGTGTCACTCTGATGCGAGGGGTGTGGGGGAGGTGGGGAGGGGGGGAGTTGAAGATTTATCACATCCTCTTTCTTCCTCTTTCTTCTTACCTCTTCTTTTTCCACCACACCACTCTCTCCATCACTTTTACGAGCACAAACGCGAGATGGCTGTTGCATCCAACGGTCCCCTTCTTGAAAAGTACCTGGGCCTCGATCAAAGAGGCTCTGTGCAAGCTGAATACATCTGGATTGACGGCTTCAATCAGTTACGTTCCAAGACCAAGACCCTGAGCAAAGTGCCTTCCTGTGTGGCCGAGCTGTCTGAATGGAACTTTGACGGATCCTCCACCGGTCAAGCTGAGGGCCATGATTCCGATGTTCTGTTGCAACCCGTCGCCATGTTTGCCGATCCATTCCGTGGTGGTGGTGGTGGTGGTGACAATAAGCTTGTTCTATGCGAAACGTACAATCCAGGTAACCAGAGCATTCAACCCGCGGTGGTGGTGATCACTCAACTCATTCTTAATATGATAATCACCACAGATGGCACCCCGCACGCTACCAACTTTCGCTATGCATGCAAAAAGGTGATGGACACATACGCTGATGCAAAGCCATGGTTTGGTATTGAGCAAGAATACATGTTGATGGATCCTGAAACGAACCGCCCTTACGGCTGGCCACGTAACGGCTACCCCGAACCACAGGTAATCGTTATCTTATCTCTCTCTCTCTCTTTCTCTCCCTCTCTGATCCTCTTTGCCATTAATTGTCGGCATCTGACCAATTAAAAATTTAGGGCAAATACTATTGCGGTGTTGGCGCAGGCAAGATCTTCGGAAGAGACATCATCGAGGCCCACTATCGTGCGTGCTTGTTTGCTGGCATCAACATCTCCGGCATCAACAGCGAGGTCTCAGCGTCACAGTTCGAATACCAGGTTGGCCCGTGTGAAGGCTTGGATATGGGCGACCAGCTGTGGATTGCGCGCTACATCCTAGACCGTGTTGCCGAGGACTTTGCCGTTGCTGTCACGATCCATCCCAAGCCTATCCAGGGCGACTGGAACGGTGCCGGCTGCCACACCAACTTCTCCACCGAGGAAATGCGGCAAGACGGCGGCCTGGCTGCGATTGAAAAGGCCATTGAGAAAATGAGCTTGAAACACTTTGAACACATTGCCGTTTACGGTGAGGACAATGACCAGCGTTTGACTGGCAAGCACGAGACTGGCCACATTGGTGCTTTCTCGTACGGTATTGCCAACCGTGGTGCATCCATCCGCATCCCTCGCCAAGTCGGCAAGGAAGGCAAGGGCTACATGGAAGACCGTCGGCCTGCTTCTAACATTGACCCTTACCGTGTCACTGCCATCGTTCTAGAGTCTTCTTTGGGCCCATAACAATTTTTCCCTCTCTCCCCTCAAACTATCTTCTTCCACCCTCTCTTTTGCATGTTACCCCTCCATTCGATCATCACCTTTCCAACAACCTCATCGTCGTCGTCACTCTTCATATATTTCAAACAGCCAGAGAAACAAAAAAATGCCGCGTATACCTCCTCATATACTATGTACAAGGAAGAGTGTGTTTATTATGCTAATGAGATGATTATGCGCCTGTGTTGGTTACATCATTGCTTGCATAAGTGCTTTTTCCTTGATGCTCATATATCGGGTCGTGGAACGATCCTGGACGATCGGGGCAATGTGTATTGCGCACTGGATCGTTCAAGTATTTCTGCTCTTCGGATGTAGGGATGCCTGGACATTGCTTGGGATCCGTGTGGTGGTGATGATGCTGATGATGGGGCATATGATGCTTAATTTCTTCCTTGATCTTTTCTTCGGTCTGTGCAAAGCGATTCATCTTTGATTGTCAAAATTCTTAGGTAGTGATATAATAATGTATTCACTATGTAGAACCTCAAGAATCCAGCCATAGGATTCTCGCTTTATATATCCATGCATTAATTCTTTTTAGTGTGAAAATCACGGATGTTTGTCTCAGAGTAGACACCAGTCCAATAGAATGCCCTTTCATGCAGAAATAAAAACGAAGCCAATCTTTGCCCTTGTACGATCCTGTCCCCTTATTTATCTATACACCTTGTTTTGCTGACTTCTAATCGGTAGCTCAGGCAGTTTTAAATCCCAGCAATAAATATGGAAAAACGCAAATCCGGAAAACTGGCTTTTAAAAAACATGTCTTGTTTTCGCACGCCTCTCTTTTGTCCGCTTCCCACCACTTTCACCCGTTTTACGCCCCCCCTTTTTTTTATAAGCTACATAGAAGATAATGGTTTTACCAACACGTCAAAACGTTCAGAAGGTCCTTCAGCACTTTGATCGCAAGGACGGTGTCATTGTCGTCAAGGGCAAAGTACTTGAAGAACGCGACGACACCGACGTCGAAGTGGACTTTAGACAGGAGAGCTCCTTCTACTACTTGACCGGTATGGGCGCACTTACTCTTTTATTGACAAACACAAACAATAAGCGTATTCTAACACAACATTTATCTCAAAGGCGTCGCTGAACCCGGTTTCTATGTCGCGATTGATGTCGCCACCCAACGCATCCAGCTGTTTGCTCCTCCAGTCAATCCTGACGATGTTATCTGGATGGGCTTGCCCGACTCACTCGAAACACTTCAAGCCAAGTACGATGTGGACGAAGCACTTTATACCACGGACTTGGATGCTCGTTTGAAGGCTGCTTCTGCCGTCTACACCATTCCACAATTCAAACTGTCCTTCGACGCACCTGTCAAGATGGCCAGTGAGGAGGACAACAAGGCCTTGTATGCTGCTATCGCCGAAGCGCGTTGCGTCAAGGCCGACTGGGAAATTGAGGCGATTCGCAAGTCCAACAAGATTTCTTCGGACGCTCACGTCAAGGTAAACCCTTTTTTCTTCAACTATAAAAGGCGCATTCCATCGTATTCCGCGTATATACCAGAATGAGTCGGAGTTTTTTCTATTTCCTAGCTCACTCCCGTTCATTTTTCCATTTTCAGGTCATGGAAGCTGTCAAGGCTGGCATGAATGAGTCTGAATTGTACTCTGCCTTCCTCAATGGTAAGTTTATTTTTTTTTCTATTTTGCAGTACTGACAGCATCCTGGCTTACACTCGTATACACAGAATCCATCCGTCAGGGTGCTTTCAACCAATCGTACCTGCCCATCTTTGGTGCTGGCAAGAATGCTGCTACTCTCCACTACAACAAGAACAACGCTACTATCGAAAACGCCACCGATTTGATCTTGGTGGATGCTGGTGCCGAGTACAACTACTATACCTCGGATATCACCCGTACTTTCCCCGCTGGTGGCAAGTTCACCGACGAGGCTGCTACAATCTACTCGGTCGTATTGGATATGCAAAAGGCATGCTTTGCAAAGCTGAAGGCTGGCGCTGTTTGGGAAGATATCCACACCGTCGCTCTTGAAGTTGCTTGTGAAGGTCTGGTCAAGGCTGGTATCCTCATTGGTGACAAGCAGGAACTGTTGGATAAGGATGTTGTGGCCGCCTTTTTCCCTCACGGAAGTAAGTATCCATCTATATACATAGTGGTGCATGAGTGGAGCAGATGGTCTACCTGATGACTCAACTCACTAACTTTTGCTATGACCATCTGTATTAGTTGGCCATATGTTGGGTATTGACGTTCACGACGTTGCAGCCTACTGCACCAGCGGTGAGCGTATTAACCGACCCAGCTACCGCTACCTGCGCATGCGCCGGACGCTTGCTGCAGGCAACGTCGTAACTGTCGAACCTGGTGTTTACTTTTGCGACTTTATCATTGACCCCGTGGTCAAGGCACCCGAAACCAGCAAGTACATTAACGTCGAGATGCTCAACAAGTACAAGTCTGTTGGTGGTGTTCGTATCGAGGACAATGTAGTTGTTACTGAGGAAGGTTACTACAACTTGACTACTGCACCAAAGGAGATTGCTGAAATCGAGGCTCTTATGGCCGAGGCTTCTTCTAAGAAGCGCAAGCTCGAGTAAATAGTTTATTCTAGATAAACAACAATAATAAAAAAGGTTCTCTGTATATATCGTATCTAAAGCTTTGATCGCCCTAAATGCTTCGAGGAAAGAACCATCAACCGATATGGAAGGGTATACGAAATCTGGCTCACACAAGGCTTCAATGATTTGTGTGGACGTCTCGGGCTTGAAGCCATTTACGATGGGCCTAGCATGCGATTTTTGTTGCACCATATGATGAAAGCTTCAGCATTGCGTAGTTATCTCTTAAGTAAATACTTTATGAACCAAGCAAGCCGGTAATTCTACGAGCTCCACTGCACAACATGCCTCATCATCGTAGGCAAATCTGACGACTTTACTGAATTAACATAATAAGTCTTAGGAGCACAGCCCAAGTTACATATGATAGCACGGCGTCCGATCTTACTTGTACAAACTCAAGCTGAGCGACACATTGCTTAAATCCGAACTTAGACAGCAATATCAGCGAAAGCAACAACCTTATTTCAATAAGCGTGCAAAGAAATGGTCAAGAAATGTAAATGTACACATGTTTCCCACAAAACACCAGAGCAACTACGTACACATTATGGACAACCACAATTAGCGTGACTATGCTGATGTCAGTAAAACCAAAGAGGCAACACAAAGTACAACTACAGCAGCTGGAAAAGGACCTATGATCTACGTCTACAAATCGATAAAGATGACAAGTAACCGAGGCACAGATACCTACAGGACTCGATATACCACGCTTAGCTACAATTGGTATTTACACACTTACCCCTGCACAATTTGCTGTACTAACAGCATCAAGCTATGAATAGGCCAACAATACCACAGCAATGAACATGTCCCGCAACTAGACCAATGTCCAAGCATACAGAGTACTTCGTTAAGAGTTAGAAATGGAAGCAGCTATCTAAAACTCATCATGATCGGGCCAAATCATGGAATATAGTTGGCTGTCCATGATATGTACGCTATCTAGGTGAAGAAAGCCCTCATAGTTTTCCGGTTGTGTAGCTGCAGCGATGCCCCGCAAAAGCTGTCTGGGAGGGGAAGTATGTATACGTCGGCTTTGGTGACCCATAGCTCGATCGAATCTTTGAATATTATTTTTCAAAGACGTTGCTTGTCATTCATACAGTTTCGTTGGCTGAATACTGCCTGATTTCATAAGAGACGCCTAGACAAGTATTTGAATGTTTTATACGTATATATTGTCCGAAAGAGATGTTATTTTTAAACACACCTTGTATATTCTTTCCAAAGCACGTCAAATTCAAACTTTTTATGATACGCACGGGTTCGCGGAAGTCACTGCAACGGTCATTCTGGGATTTTTCCTGCATCACCCTTGAATACGTCGTTTGAGGCAACGGTGGTCTGAGGCGGATTACAGTACAACAGCGCAATTTCATCCACGTGACAAACATCGTGAGGGTGCTAAACTTGGATTCTGCGGATAACAGACGGGAAGAACAGCTGTATCGGTAGATCCTGAAGTTCCATAGGTTTAGAAGCAGCCAATAAAATAGAGTTTTTTTTGAAACGGTCCTGCCAACCATGCGATGTCTTTAAAGGCGCCATCAAGATACTTACCAATGATGGCAGTGGCAAACGAATTGAGCGGAACATTGCGTTTTCACGTTCTAACTCCAGTAACAAACACTTGTTATGAAAGAGAAGAAGATAGAGTTAATATATGAGGACGTATATTACAGCAACAAGCATATAACAACAGTGTAGCTTACAGAAAACTGCCCTTGGGAACGGCGTTTTGCTATCCTAAACACGGATTTGTCGCCAGCCAGAGGATCAGCACCTCGCCTTTTGATTAAGTGCGACAAAGCTGAGATGTTTGGAACAGGATCGTTAGGGTATGTCTCCCTGAAACATTTAATCAAATGCTCGTCGCAAATTCGTTCCTCTTGCTCGGATGTGGACTGCGGAACAAATTTATCGTGCTCGAATGGATTAATCATCAAAGCGTTCGACAGCTTACGAAAGAGACCATAAGTCCGTTGTCTCTGTATGCAAGTAATATCATCTTGGACGTAAGTGATTATTTATCGTACATCGTCTCTGACAGATAAGCATCGACGTGATGTTTATATAAGATGACTTGACTCAGTGTTTATTTCAAGCCTAATTGTTACCCAGTTACTTGCAAATACTCGAGAATATTGGGCTGCAAGAACCGGGGTACGACTGTATTTCACGATGCGAATCCTATTATGTACATGAATACAAGTGATATGTCCATTTCCAAGTGGATTCATACAGTACACTTCATTGTCATAGCACCGTGTCTAGTACTTTGAATCCTCAAAACGCTGTGGAAAGAAAACAGCGCTCCAAAGTTAGATACCACGAACCGTATATTGTTTAACTTGTCAGCGTTTCAGGTTTGTTGTGTTTTCTTTAGACGCGGGACACCATCCAGTGCAAAAAAAAGTTTTGCCAAAGTTTGCTTGTTTATGAATAGTAGTAATGAGAGAAAAAGAAAGGGAAATGTTAAATGGATGATCACTACAAAAGTAATAAGGGAAGAAAGAGAAGAGATAAAAGTTGAAAGAGAGAAAGAGAGGTATGAGTAGATAATGTATATGAAATAGGTGAACAAACGTCTTAGTTACAAAAGATATATTGGGGTGGTGCGTCTGTTCTTGATGGGGTGTAATTTTTTCCTTGGTCCCAATAATCTGTCTCTTTGGAAGAACGCGAAAAGAGACCATCATAGCCGAGTGTACTGTTTCGCAAAAAAATATAAAGAAGTGTAAAGTGAGAGAGGAAAGTCGGATTGTCTATAAAGGGCATCTAGCAGCATCCGCCACCTCCAGAAGAGGCATTGGCTGATGGCAATGACGATCCGCCCTGTGGAGGTGCAAGCTTGATTCCGTTTGACTTGAAAAAATACGTACTGGGGGTCAGACTCACGAGAGCACACGAAATATTCGCACATACAGCAAGCATCATATAAAGTTACCTCGCTCGACAGATCGATTGCCCCGCTCTGGATCTTTTTGAAGATGGTCTGTGCCGTTGTCTGGAATGCCTCCTCCACGTTTTCCGCCGACTTTGCAGAGGCCTCCAAGAAGAACAAGCCATTCTCTTTTGCAAACTCCTCTCCTTCTTCCCGAGACACTTGGCGTTTGCTTTCCAGATCACTTTTGTTGCCAATTACCATGATGACTGTATTCGGGTTGGCATGCTGACGTACATCTAACGACAGGTGGTACAAGGTTAAATATACACACAATAAGACGGCAAAGATTTCCACATGATAAAATGTCCAAAAAATTCAGTTCTTTTTTCTTCTTACCTTCAAGCCAGGTCGACAGGTTTTTGAACGTGTCACGTCTGCGTGTAATCCCAGGCGTATGTGAATTAGTTCTCTGCAGTCCAACCGCTTACCCACTCTATTCCATCACTTTTTCTTGTTACCTTGTAATATCGTAAACTATAATATATCCATATTAGCTACCTGATAAATCATAAAGTGCGTGATAGCATCCAGAATAATACATACCCAACAAGGCACCTGCTGCACCACGATAGTAGCTCCGCGTGATGGTTCTAAACGACTCTTGACCGGCCTATGGGCACACACACATTTATATATACACATATACACCAAGGAGCATCTGTTAGCGACACGCTTTCGACGAGCGCCTATAATAAATACGAAACAATTACCGTATCCCAGATCTGCAGCTTAATTTGTTGATCATTCACAGTGACGAAACGCGTACCGAAACCAACACTAAAAGCCCCATCATAGCAAATTTAGAAACATATCGATGCCTCAGGCTCTATCCCTTCAAACATACGATCACCATTCCGCATAAAATGAGCATAGCAGCTTACCCAATCGTTAAATCGTGTGCCGGCATAAATCGCTTGTCAGTGAATTGCAGGAGGAGACATGACTGTAGAAAAAATAGGGGGGGGTAGAAGTTTGTTTGGAGAGGGGCAAGTTAAACATGATTCAATCAGCCTTCTATGCTTTTCTGCACAGCAGTAATTCGATAGAAAATCCACCTTCCTTCCTTTTCCTTGCCGCCCACCACATCTTTAATATATGAAGCCGAGAATAAGAAACTTACCTTTCCTACGCCTTTTAAAGTATTATTTTGAAGGGAAACACCCCAATTGTGTAAGTTAGTGAGAAAGACGTTAGATTCTTCTTCTTTGCGTTTCAATTGTTCAAGGGGCCTTTCGAGGCATCAAAGGAACGAAAGAAAAAATAAGGAACGTACCAGTATCGCCGATAATGATATACTAAAGAAAAGGACATTAAAAAAAACTTGGTCAATAAAACGTTGTATTTCCTTGGTTTTGTTGTTCTCTTCTTACTTTAATAATGTAGCTGTATGAATAACTTGACATTGTTCACACAGGCTAAAGAAAGAGTGAGGGAGGAAGAGAAAGAAGCTTTGTGTAATAGCTGTATATAAATTCACGATGGTGCTTGAACGTGAGAGAGAAACCCCGACACATGATGTCATTGGTCAGTTTTCATCCGAAGGTACGCGTACGCTTGCTGCCCTTCTTTTTCCAGACGCACAACCAATTCTCTTTTCGCTTTACACCTACTCCCCGCACACATTCGATCATGCCAACCACCACTACCATATCGCCTTCAACAACCGTTCAAGTACATCCCCTCGTACTTCTTTCAGCTACCGATCACTACAATCGTGTTGCCAAGGACACCAGAAAACGCGTCGTCGGCGTCTTGCTTGGTCAACAAAAGGGCAAAACTATCAACGTTTCGAATAGTTTTGCAGGTACCGTCTTATAAAAGTGCTGACCATGGCTATGTCTGCTTATTTCAATCTGTTCATCTCCAGCTAATCTTGAATTATATCATGTACTTTAGTTCCTTTTGAGGAAGATGAAAAGGATCCTTCAGTGTGGTTCTTGGATCACAATTACATTGAAGGAATGAACAGCATGTTCAAAAAAGTCAATGGTAAGAATATATACTATTTTTATACTCGCTACCATTAAACTCTTAAAAGAAAAAAATTAACATAAAATCATGTTACTCCTCAAAACAGCCAAAGAAAAAATGATCGGATGGTACCATAGTGGCCCTAAGCTTCGTCCTTCGGATCTCGAGATAAACGAACTCTTTAAACGATACACGCCCAACCCTGTACTCGTAATTGTGGATGTCAAGCCAAAAGACGTCGAAATACCCACAGATGCCTACTTTGCAATTGAAGAAATCAAAGATGTATGACTATTATCTCGAAAAGTGCAGGAGTGAGCGAGACAGGAAACAGAAACGAACAACAGGCTAACGGTCGTTGCTATTATTGTTGTTGTGACATGTAATAATAGGATGGCACAGCTACGACCAAAACGTTCATGCACGTGCCATCAGAAATCGTTGCCGAAGAAGCAGAGGAGATTGGTGTGGAACATTTGCTGCGGGATATTAAGGACAATGCGGTAGGCACGTTGTCGACACGTATTAGTGGACAGTTGGGATCGTTGGCAGGCTTACAAGGCAGATTGGAAGAAATTCGCGATTACTTGCAAAAGGTGGTAAGCGGCAAGCTGCCGGTCAACCACCAAATCTTATACAACCTTCAAGACATCTTCAACCTGTTGCCCAACCTCGAAGCCCAGGATATGGTCAATGCGTTCAGCGCAAAGACGAACGATCAGTTGCTCATGATCTACTTGTCCAGTCTCATCCGCGCCGTCATTGCACTGCACAACTTGATCAACAACAAGATCGACAACTTAAAGAGCGAAGAGGGTGTTTTGGAATCATCAGTCACAACCGCAGCAGCAACAGCAAACAGTGAAAAGAAGGAAGCTGGCTCACCAAAGGAAGACGCAAAGAAGGAGTCGTCGAGTAAATAATTGTTTTTCTTGTTTTTATTCTTTTGATAAAAAAACAGTATTAAAGCGCCATTATGTATATTCTCTTCATTTTCCTTATTGTGGATGCTCATGGCTTCTCGGTATAAGGAAACATTTGCATGGTATTGGATAAGAACATCTGGGTCTTATTGAAATACTCGTTGCGCAAAGTCATATAAGGCCATTTTTGAGCCATTATCTCAAAGTCCTTACATTTATTGCTATGTAATTATTGCCACCGATAGTGTCGGTTGTTATGGTGGCGGCAGCGAGCGGTTACGGTTAATGCGACAAATTTCGCGAGATCAATTACTTCCAAATATGGAAGTCCCGATGAACGGGGAGCGGTTATACCAGCGAATTTGTGTTGTAACATAAGCTCTCTCTTTTCTGCGCTATGAAGGTATGATATCCGTAATTAGCAAAGGACCATCGATGTTGGATCAAGAGGATCGCATACTATAGAATAGATGGATGAACGAACGAACGGATGGATGGATGGATACGACGACCGAAACGATACACTTTATTCTTTTTCTCTCTGAAAAATATATACGACAAAATCTCTTTGATTCCAACACGATGCGATCCGACCAAATCCAATTTTCTTTATTTTTCTTACCTAGTCCTAACCTCAATATATTTTTAATATTCTAATTTAGCTGAACATTGCGAATCCAGCCACTGGCTGTCAAAAGTTGATTGAAATCGACGATGAGCGCCGCCTGTAGGTTATCATTTCAGTATAAAACTAATTAATTCAGGGCGAAATGAGCTAGCGCTGTTGAAAATTGACGTTATCCTCCTTATTATCAATAAATATAGCCGCGGCTTTTACGACAAGCGTATGGCTCAGGAAGTTGCTGGCGATGCCCTCGGTGATGAATTCAAGGGCTACGTTTTCCGCATTTCCGGTGGTAACGACAAGCAGGGTTTCCCCATGAAGCAGGGTGTCCTTTTGCCCCACCGTGTCCGCTTGTTGTTGAGCAAGGGCCACTCGTGCTACCGCCCTCGCCGCACTGGCGAGCGCAAGCGCAAGTCTGTCCGTGGCTGTATCGTTCAGTCCGACTTGGCTGTCATGAACTTGGTTGTTATCAAGCAGGGCGAGCAGGACATTCCCGGCCTTACTGACACCACCGTTCCCAAGCGTCTCGGTCCCAAGCGTGCCAACAACATTCGCAAATTCTTCAACTTGACCAAGGAAGACGATGTTCGTCAGTACGTCATTCGTCGCACTATCCAGCCTGCCAACCCCGACAAGAAGCCTTACACCAAGGCTCCCAAGATCCAGCGCTTGGTCACCCCCGTCACTCTCCGTCGTCAACGCAAGAAGAAGTTGGAGAAGCGCAAGCGTCTTGAACGCAAGACCGAGGCTGAGGCTGAATACAAGCAGCTTTTGGCTAAGCGTGTCAAGGAGGCCAAGGATCGCAAGATCGAGAGACGCCGCACCTCCTCGATGCAGAAGTCTTCGTCTGCTTAATTTTTTTTTCTTTTTGAAAAGCCCAACGTTTTAAAAAAGATAATTAAATAAAAAAAGGACAGCAAAAAAAAAGGAACATGGAACGCGTTCGCTTTTTTGTTTTTTGAATACGATAAAGATGAAAAGGATATACGTCGTAGTAAGGATCAATAGCGTGGTGTCTAGTACCGAGCGATATCATATATGATGATGGCGCATGGATTCATGCTGCTTTAAAAAATGCCTGCGAGCAACCGCTAAATAGCATAACGACAGTCTATGCATAGATCAACAGTGTGCTGGATTTGGTAGTTACTAGGATGCAGGGTAGCACACAACTTGATGTAATTCTTCACCTTCTTTTACTAGGAACAAGTCCGAAATGAGTTCGTCAATAACCGCAATAGTACTCGATGGACATCCCGCTGCATTCAGCGGCACCACACGCGACCATGATCCAAGCGTAGATCGTACACGTATGAATCTGCATTAATGAAAATCTGATAGCAATAACAACAGGAAACCGATAGATCTAAGAAGAATATTTGACGTTCATTTCTGGGAATTGCATCTAGAAAATCTTCCACCCATTCCGTTATGGACGTGCATGGTGGACGGTACACTGGAATTTTGTCGAATAGGTTGGGAAACTGCATCCAATCAGCTTCCGGAAGTACGTTAAAAATGGACTCCTTTCTTTAACTTTAACGCGTAAATATAAACTTAACGTTCTTGATCGTGTACGTGTAGATCACAGTGATCGCAGCAGGGAAACAACCTCAATATTTGATTTCAGCTGGCCAGGCTGGTCAAGTAGATACGGTAAAAAAGGGAGAAAAAGTTGAAAAAAAAGACAAAGTTTGGCATATTGAACGTGCGCCTTACTTTTTTATCATTGCCATTTAGCTGGTCGAACAACTTAAAGAAGTACAACCACGACAAACAACCCCTGTGGATCGCATCCAGAATGCTTTGATTTCATTTTTTGAAATTGCACAGACAGCACGATACCGTACCTTACGCATTGTTCTTATGCTGCTCGACAAAGGCAGTGGGACCCGTTACAGGTAAAAGTCACTACTAGAAATATCCAACTCAAATAGGGCTTGTGTTGATGATATGATGCCTTTCCACATGGATACAGCTACTCTAATAATGAAGGATCAGAAGCGCGGGATATTCGAGCAATGCTGTATGATTCATTCAAAGAATCTACGTCATTTGATTCTATCCATGTTGATGTACTTCGGATTTTTCCGCGTACTGACAACCTGCCGCCCAATGTTGAGAATAATACGGTAAAAGTATATCAAATAACGGGAAATCTTTTGATGATGATATTGATCTTTTCGAATAAATAGTTTGCACCCTCGGCCACGCTCTCGGTGTATAATATCCCTAACCACATGGATGCCTTAAAATCCGCTATGCGTAATTTGGCACAACTGTATTATAATGTTGATATTCTACGTATAACCAATATACCCATGAATGTGGTAAGATAAGGTGGTTATTTTCTTGGGATGCATTAGAAAAATGAAATCGTGACAGTTAAAACAATTATTATTCGGTTCTACGGTTGTTTTTTAAGCGACGACAAGACAGCAGCACAGCAATGACACAAACAGTGGAACTTTATGCGCAATGCACCGAATCATGTAAAGCTCGGCATCATATACATATGCAGGCACAAAATGACACTCGGATGCCTATTCATGATCCACGATACCTTCGATCCAAAGTTATAAATTTGGTATATGTCAAGCGAAACAAGCGTGTTGTTCATGGTACTGTCATATTCTCCCCCATCCTTCTTTTTGAGAAATGGACATTTGACGATACTTCACTTTGAAAATGGCGTATTAGATATGCGATGGTGTGCCTGCAGACACTCGGTTACAGTCCTCGTGGATGACGGTCCTACAAAAGCTTACTTGGGGACTATACGCCAAGGCAGCGTGTCGTATCTGATGGACCCAGAAAACATCAAAGCTAACAAAGAATGGACGCATATACTAATATCGGATCATGGTAAATGTGATTTGGATAAACTGACTATTTTCTTTTCCTATGAGGATAATCTAATTGCCAGAATAAATAGACAAAGTATACCTTCACGTTTTCGATCATCAACTTGAACACAAGCTGGAAGAAGAATCACAGACGCTGGTAGCCAAGTCAAAGGTCAAGACAGAGTACTCAATGATGGGTGCCCTTTCATCATATCCCTTGATAACTCCAGATAAAGTCCAGGTAAGGATCAAAGAAGAATAGTGCGGATCAGCGATGAAATGTGTGGTAACATGTAGTACAATGGATGATGCGCTTTCTATATATGATTATATATAGGAATTTACCCAGACCTTCATAGTACCAAACATGTATCCGGATATACTGTCAGATCTCCCACCAACGCAAAAATTCAAGGCCTTCAAATACTCGTCCGAATCGCCATTACTATCCGTTTTATCCAAAAACATTCAGACCACGGAAAACATTGAGCTTACGACGCGATGGCTTACTTGTTTCCGTGACTGTATGGGCACGGATAAGTTTCCGGTTACTCTGGAGGATAATCGACCGATCAGCGACTTTGCAGCAGAAGTGTGTAATGGCTCGCCTTTGCATTCTGGATTCGGTTTGCTTCCGGTAAACATATTATGTATTTTTTTAGGGGCCTATTCATTATATACTGTTGAGAGCGAGCTCTGTGACATCAAATCTTCTTAACGTATTATCTCCTTGACTGTCATTGATATATAGACGCTGAATCTACCACTCAGTGCATCATTGAACAAGATAAAAAATGCAGTCTTTTCAAAAGATCGATCTTTGATCAGGCCCACTATCGGAGAAGTTGACATGGTAAGCCCATTACAAACTGCACGCACATAGACACGCACTAACTAATGTTTTTTGTTACTTATGCAACAGATGGTAAGCCAGCTTTCAGCCGTTGCTGTGGGCAAGTCGTCGAAGATGATAAGCAATTTTAAGATGCTCAAGGAGGACTCGCGGTAAGTTTCTTCCTTAATTTATCCGAAGATATACTAAAGTACGTATCAAGTATTAATCAAAAGAAGTGCCTTTCAGACTGATGGCAAAGCGGCTTTTGATTGCTTTATACCTTGTCGGAAAACGGTTCATGGATAATGCTGGAGGGAAAAAGTGCCAGGTTATTTTGCCATCCTCATTTTGATAGGGAGATGGTATATAAGCAAATGGAAGCTGGCCCTGTGCATAGTATGCTAACAAAGACTCTCTTATTAGGTGTGCAAACACATACTGAAAGCAATCAATGAAAAGAAGATTGAACAGCCTCTAAAAGAAGAAGAGCGGGCCTTTCCTAATGAAATATCATCCAAAGAAGCATCTAGTAGTATTGAAGCTGCCTGGAATCAAGCCAAGAAATTTGAAGGCATGACTGTTCGGGAGCAAGAGGACTCGCGGTATAGTTTGGGAACTGGAATTGCCAATGTGCCGTCAGTGAAACATGAAGAGTTCATGGCACCTATGCAATCACCGAGACCCAGAAGAGGAGGAGGAGGAGGAGGAATACGGGGAGGAAGGGGAGGACGAGGTCGAGGCAACTCAAACTTTGGACCGCGTGATATCCGTGATGTGAGCGTCAATCCGAATTTCATGCGGAATGACGGAGGCGATATAGTGGTACCACAAAAAAGGCAATCGGAAGGTCCCCCGGCCGTACCCTATTTATTGGCAGAACTCGCAGAAAGCATCGAAGCAGGAACAGTTGAAATGCCAGATTATCTAACACGCCGTGGGAAGCAACAACAGCAGCAGCAGAAAAACCAGTTTGGACCGCCTGGCAGTTTTCTTGATCTGTATTGGACGGTGGACAAGCAGTTACGTGAAGGAAAACAAGGAGATGACGATGGCAAAGTACTAGCATATCGAAACAACAAGTGGCAACGGATCAAAAAAGAGTTTGATGGAAGGATGGAACAGCAACACAGTGTCACACGCGGCAGTTAAGCTGAATACAATTTTTATTTTACTTCGCTTGGGTCAGATGAATGTGCATAATCGTATCCTATGTGAAAGGTGTTGGGCGAATCATTCATTTTTGGGGAGGGAATAACGGTGGCTAGAGTTCACTGTATACGGTAATGGTGGCTCGTGCAGTGGCAGAGGGTATTCCGGGTGAGAATCCTCCAGAATGATCTTTTGGCGGCTGACGAACACCGCGGATGAGCACAATACCTTGCTTTCCTTGGTTGCTGTCTCTCCGCGCACTAGGACTAATAGAAACACACCATCGTAAAGAGTGAATGGGTTGTACAAAGATCCATCGCTCTAAGGAAAAACTTACTTGTGCATTTGCTTGTCGATCCGGTATGCAGCAGTGTTTCCAATTTCACTCTCAAGCGCCGTGTTTATGCATAGTAACTCTTCCCGCGAGTATCTCTGAGAGGGTATGGTACTAGTAATCCACTCTTCATCGTCGTCGTCGTCGTCGTCGTCATTACTGCTACTGGGCTTTCCCCCCGTTGTTGCTGCTGCTAGGCTAGAGACATTGTTTGACGATGTTGGGCTATCTGGTCTCGAAGGCTCATCCCACATGGCCGGTGAAAAGTCAAATGTAGGTTCTGCGGCCTTTGCAGCAACATCTGATATCGCGGCTCCAGTTTCTGGCTTTGACTGATCCACGCTAGTAGTGCTGCTAGAACCTGGCTTGGGGGTGGTATGTTGAGACGTGGCGATCTCCTTTGATTCGGTGGCGATTGTCGTTTGTGCATTGTCATCACTTGTATTGGACTCGTTTACGTCAGTGACATTTGACTTTGACCAGTCAACGCTTGTGTTGTGATTGAATGATTCGATATTTAATGAGGTAGTTGCAGCAGTCGATTCAGTCGCAACAGGTGCATCCGATGTGACGCGCTCGTCCTCTTTGGGTTGGAGAGTGCTTGGAGATGTGCCGGTGTCTGTCGATGTAAGGCAGTTATCGCTGCTACTGTTGTCGGTCAAACTGGATTTGTTGGACCAATCCACATTTTCGGCAGCAGTGTTGAGTGATTCGGAAAAGCTCGCCCAGCTGTCAATATTGTGTCGTTGCTGCTTTTGCTGCGCAGCAGCTGGAGCAGACTTTGAAGCTTGATCACACACGGGGACAAATGGTTTAGACGACGACGACGACGATGATGATGATGATGGTGCGGGCGGCAGCGAGGGTGTCACAAGGACGGAGTCAGTGCTGGTGGAGGGGGAAAGCTCAGATTCCGGAGGAGTGGGATTGGCTTCCGAGATGGACGTGGTCTTCATGACAGCCTGAAATTGAGACCAGTCGTCCACCAGCACACCAGCGCCCCAGCGACCACTGCTCGCGGTTGAGTCCATTGTGCCTCTTCGTGATGGCGGTGACGGTGATTTCCACATGGATGCTGCTACTCCTTCTGCGGCTTGCTGCTTTTTCACGGGTGTCGGGAGCATCGTTGAATCTGATTGATTGAAGGAGAACGATGAGGACGAGGTGGCTGTATCAACTTTACTGATTGGAACTGCTTCTGCTGCCGAACTGTTGTTATTCCACAAGTCGTCTGTAGCTGACTTCCATGACTCCGGAGATGACGTGGCCGAGTCAGTTGCTGCGGTTGCTTCCACTGTTGTTGATGTTGTCCATGGGGTATCGTTGGGTGACCACAACAAACCCTGAGAGGATGATGGTTGACCTGTCAAAGACGGGCTTTTCTTGGGCGAGACAGGAGGTACCGACGCCACGTATTGTTGCTGCTGTTGTGGTAGTTGACCCGTCGTAGTACCCGTCTTGACAGACACGGACTTTGTCGAAGAAGTCCAATGATCGTTTTTGCTTTGATCATGCGTGGGTGTCAATGGCGAAGGTGGCTCGTTCTTGTTCAAGGCGGCAATGGGGGTCGTTGGAGTAGTGACTGTGCTGCTCCCGCCCTCGCATGATCGTGCCTTTGCTAACGAGTCCCCGCCAAAAAAAGAGACCCACCCAATCAAAAGTTTTTAGGTAAGTACACACGACTTATACAGGAGGAGATGATGCTAGAAGGAGACTGGATATATAAGACAAACCTGCATTAAGCGCCTGTAAGTTCCATGGTCTAAAAGACGTCTTGTATTCTGGCTTTTTCATAGGAGCTAAAGTTATGTGGTGGCGGGTGGGGCGTGCTGAGGATTCGAATAAAAGAAAGTGTGAAGAAAGGCGCAACGTCGGCCAACAGAAGGTTAATAATATTCTTTTTAAAGTTCCGCTACACTGTTTTTTTAAATCTCACAGCGAGGAGCACAACAGCTGGGCACACACATGTAGGCCCACTTCTTTGATACAGTCATTGTAGTGATATTGTCCACGTGACGACGTATGTCTTATTTAACAGTTTGATATGATATATTATGATATATAGAAAAATTATTTTACAGTGGCATCACTTGGCCCCAGGCATTGGTCATCGACTGAGCTCCCCAATTCAAATTATGTGCAGCTTCCGTCGAGGAATCCAACGGCCTGGGCTCTTGTTGTTCGCGCCAGAACGCCACGTCTTCCTTCAAATGGCCCTTGGAGATCTTGGTGTAGAACCATGTAAAAATCATCACCACAAGCGCGCCTAGACCAAAGATAAGATATCCCGCCAAGGCCGCTAGGCCCAGATCCGTGTTGGTGAGCACGACAATTAGTTTGATAAAGAAGCCAACGATCAGCATGATGCCCCATGCAGCCGTCATGATCCGCATATCCTGTCTGAAACGCGCCATGTTCGTGTATGCCCAATCAAGCTTCTCCTGTTTGGTTGCCGGTCGTTTTTTCCCGTTCAAACGCTGTTCATCCTGCGCCGCAAGATCTTCAGCAGCGTCCGAGCGCGGCATGACTTGGTTCGTCAGTTGGTATATCACCGGCCGCAGTTCATAGGATCCGATTTTGATAGGGATCAATGAAACGACGCAGAACACGCCAACAAGCAGCGGTACGATGCCTTCGCAGATGGCTTCGACCTGCTCTGTGGGCTCAGCGATTGACTATGAAAGAGAAAGGGGTTGTGCGATGTTAGCACTCATTCCGTATTGTACAACAGGGTCACTCTTACCACAATGCCAGATATCAGGAAAGCAAGACCAGCTATCATTCCCAAAATATCGAATTGTCGCTGCCGCACCATACGTCTATAGTTGAAGCCCACGTCAGACACACACTTGTTTCATCCAAGCCTTACACTCCCATCGCGCCCTGTTCCTTACCCGATTACAATCAAGAGCGGGGGAGCGGAGGCAACAACCATGGCCAGTACCTGCCCCAGGTATGGTTTCAAGATGTGATACAAGAGAATAGGCAAGCCGATACACCACAGGATGGCCAAAATAAAATTCCAGATGGGTCGTCCACGCATAAACTCAAAACTGAATATGTCCGTGAGATCCCCCAGGTCCATGGGCAGATCTTCATCCTGTTCCTGGGGCGCGTATTTGTTGTTTCCCTCCATTTCTCCTTGTTGACCTTGTTGAGGTGGCTGCTGTTGTTGTTGGTGTTGTGCCGGGTAAGGCTGCTGCTGTTGCTGATAGACATTCCCGGGAAGACCTGGGTAGTTGCCAGCATAAAAGGAACCGTCCGCATAACAATTTTGTTGATAAGGCGGCGGGCCATACCCTGGAGGGACGTTCTGTGGTGCAGGAGCAGTGTCGTTTTCAGTGCGAGACCAGAAGGGCATAATTGGAATTCAGGTAGGTTTACATTCCAAGTGGAATGGAAAGAAAGTTAAAAAGAAAAGGGAAGCAACGAGTATTAAAAAAATTCGCGGGGTGTTCTGTTTTGGAAGACGATAAATAACCAGAGTTCGGCATTACTTTTGAGCCGAAGACAACAATGGGGCGCAATTGTTACTGCCAAGAAGTCGTCGCCGTCGTCGTCGTCGTCGTGCCCACAAGCGAATCGGGTCTTCCTTCAAGAGAAAACCATGGACTCGGGCCAGACGATCGTCCTCTCCTGCTACTGTGCTCTGGACTGATACGCCTTGGCTTGGTTCATCTGTCAAGTCGATTAAGTGAGAATTATTTTTAGACAAGAAACGAATTTGTTTGACGGGTCAGATTCCGAAACCTTAATAATTCTTCCGACGACCAGGTGCTTGCGTCTGTGTAGCATTCTCATCGAAACTTCTAAGCACATCCCTTTAGTAACGCGAGGAAAAGATCTTTTATCCGGTTAAGTGCATACTACCGCCGCCCTGTAATCCATGTGCCAGAGTATAAGGGATCATTCTATTGC